TTCAACTTTAAATAATGTTATTGTAAACATTTATTTAAAAGTTAATTCATAAAATACTGTAAATTAAGAAGAAATATATTGTTTTTCTAATAAAAACGTCTATCTTAGCATTTATGAAAAGGGGAATAACTCGATTTTCTTTTACAAGTTGGAAAAATAGAAAATTGAGTTATTTCCCTTTTCAATATGTTAATAAAAATGATCAATGCGGCCGTTTTTGAACTGATGCGGCGGTGCCTGAGAAACTATTGATTAATTTTTTTTGGCCTAATGGGCAGTTTTAGACCTAAACATCTTATCAACTTGAAACATTTACTCTCTTGTGTTCAAGATGCACACTCCTACATGTAAAACTGCTTTTTTTAATTCATTGTTTAAAGTAAGAATTGCATGCTATTTATTTCAATACTTTTCTAAGGGACAGAAATAGAAAACTCTTGACTGAATCATAAAAGAAACACAAACTTTTCCGTCTTTTGTTTGTGTATCAATTTTTCTTATCTACCAGCCCACATACATGACATAAAAATCAGACAAAATTGTATGAAAGTGATACATGTACATGTACATGAAGGTTTTCAGAATTCGAACACTCATAAATTTCTCTTGCAATATGAACAATGTACGTAATATGAAAATTTTTTCTGAGTTTACCAAAATACATGCAAATACATAATAGAAATATTTCTCTCATCATGTTCTTATCTATTATGTTTAATAAATTAAACATTAGGCCATTCCAAGTTTTTTCTCTGTTTAGCATCCACCCATCTTTCAAAAACCTAGCTACCTATTCACAAAAAACACACAAGTCAAAAAAAAATAAAACACATATTTTATACTAATAAGAATGATGTAATTCAAAACATATGATTTCATTTATCTATTTTTCATAAAGAAAGTTATTTTCTTCAGCAAAATCAAGGTATTAAATACTGAAACTTTTCCAATAATGAAATATTATACAAATATCAGACTTGTCGAAATTCGTCGGTCCTGTCGGCAAGGCTGGTAAAAATTTGTCTGGACCGATAACATTTAAGAAAACGTCGGTCCAGATGTCCGTTTGAAAAGAAAATGAGCGTAATGTAAATTTAATAAAGGTCGGGATCGGGATGCGTAGTTCAAGGTCACAAACACAGAAAAAATGGGCGCGTACACAGAAAGTTGACGATAGCTAAGTAAATTTGTTATACCAAAGTCATAAAACTTGTCATTTATGTCTATGTTAAAGACTCTCTATCCCAAGAAAGGAAACTTGTTAGATTAAAGGCTAATGATAATATAAAAAAAAAGACTTTTTGGTGCCGTTATTCATATGATTTTACCAGCATCAAAATAACATACAAGTACCCCGGTATCTGGTCTGACAAAAGTTTGACTGGTCCAACAAAACATTCAACTGTGTCAGACCAAATGTCTGACAGCGATTAAAAAATTTCGACAAGTCTGAAATATTTAGAGATATTGCCGGAATTAACGTAATTTCGGGATTATAGGTCGATGGGGTATATACTAGGTCGAAAGGCTCATTTTCAGCCTTAATTTTTGAAAAATCCTAAGATAGGGCGAACTTACAATATAGGACGAGGCTTTGTTTCCCGTTTTCTAAAGATTCTTACGCAGATACAGCGTATCAGAACAGGTAAACCCCTAAAATTACCGGGGTTATTCCGTGAAATGAACGTATCAAGAAAATAAACTGGTATTTTAATGAGTACAGCATTTAAATAAAGTTTTTTTTAAAAATGTAGTTAAAACTTCTTTGAATTGTGTTACTACTTATTTTTCTCCAACTTGCCTGTTCACTGCCTCTGTAGTTTCACACTGTTGTTAAATCAGAGGCATAAATAACACGTAAATGCGTTATTATTTTACAGCTATAATTCGGGAAATACCCGAGACCAAAGAATAGTAATTCCGTTTCCAGAACAACTTGGACACATTCCTAATAAGTTTTATTCAGACATTATTTACCGGTGGACGACAATTACTTCGATGTCCGCCATTTTTTTTTTTCTTCTCCAGGGATTTGCTAAAACACGCAAATGACCATCGAATGTATATTTCAAGCAACAGTAAAGAATTGAAATCATATTAACACTCTCTAAGTTTAATTTATAAATTTAATTGAGAGTACATTCACAATTTGACTGTCAACATGAATTTCACGGCTTTGTTTGTTCAATGATGTGTAACACTAATACCCTATAACGGCACGTGGGTTTCTTAATCATGCCCCGCAGGCATTTAAACTAACACAGGTGTTCAGCACCTTTGCGTACAGTGTAAATCCCTTTATCTGTCAGACAATTAAAATTCTGTTAGAAGCCAATCTTTGTATCGGTATATTCAAGATAAGTTTGTTTGACCGGTATTATAATTAATTAAAATAAAAAAAAAACAGTAATGAATAGCGTTTTTTTTTTGTAATTAAATCTAGGAATTGAATGGCAACAAATTATTTCACTCATTTTACATTTAAATAAACATAAGACAATAAAAAATATTTAATATACTATTTCAATTTATCGCTACTAATAAATGGTAAAAACACTACAGTTGTGATTGTGAAAAATTTCCGTATTTTAAATTTTGATACGGTTGCGGTTTTACTTTTAGTACACGATTGCGATTTCCTAACTTCACAAGATGGATACCGCATGATGTTAATGGACAATACGTTGAGGAATTGTTTAATAGATGAAGCAATGTTGTTTTCCTTTGTCATCAATGGATAAGTAATGGAATTTATTTTGTAAGAAAGCTATAGAATAAATATTTTATTGTTTACCGGGGCATTCATTTTTTTTGCGAAAAATAATCAAAAAAGTTACGAAAGTGGCACAAATTTGCTTTGAAATTGACGTAAATTTTACTGATTAGGGGGCATTTTTCGTTAACTTGAGCCTTAAATAGGTCGAATTCTGTATATTGGGCGACCCCAGCGGTTCTGAGGAAAAAAGTATCGACCTATATTCCGTAAATTACGGTAATCACAAATTTTGACCTGAATAATTAATTTTCAGACTCCTGATTCTGTTTGTTTTTTCTGACACAGGGTGTCAAAAACCAAGGCGCACGTGGACGCTAAACATAGAAAAAACTTGGAATGGCCTTAATTTAATGTCATCAAACTATTCACTAGATAAGCTTATTTTTTTATTACAAACATCTTCAAGACACCACTGACACTTAATTTGCAAAAGTAAAAAAAACTGTAAATGCCACATGAAAATTAATACATGTAGTTGGACAGAAACTTCCGAAGCAGATATTATAGATATAATTCCCGACTTTTCCATTTAATTAATAAGAAAATATATACCTGTTTCTGGAATATCAGGTGGTGAGGCCTCCTTCTTGATCTTTGAGGCTTTCCTTGGTCTCCCTCTCGTTGGTTTAGGTTGAGTTTTCAGTTTGATTGGAATATTTTTTTTGACATTTCCTGTATTCACTGTACCGCCAGCCTCAGATTCAAGCTCCATTGCTAAAAACAACAAATGTCTGCCATCAGCACACTTATGTATGTCATGTATTTGCATCATCACTTGTAAATATGATTATTAGATTATTTCAAAAGGTGATGAAAATACATTCATTAAGTAAGGTGTCCCTAAATTGCTTATCGATAATTTACTTGTGATATGCACAGGTACTTGGGTCTTGGTTTATAAATATGTATGTACCTTATTCAATATTGATATGTAAAAAAAGTTAAGGTATGCAGGCTCCGTAATGGCATCTGCTCAACTTGCTTGTTAAAATGGCTTGTTCTTTAAAAAAAAAGGTTCCACCTACCGATATTTCTGCACCGGATGTCTCAGAACACTGATTACTTATTTTAAAAACTCTCACATCTTCATGTACAAATAATTCCTCTAGAGGCATTCCTGGAAATCATAAATAGTTCTTGGATAATTCAAGTGATATTTAAATTTCCCAGAATGCCTAAGGAATTTCAGAGTGTCTGAATGGTCGAAATTTGTCGTTTTGAATCAGGTTTTAGTATTTGCACTTAGGTCCGGGAATGTTAACGTAAAGTTTGTAAAAGTGTTTAAAAATCACCTTTTAGGAATGTGAGGGTTCTTACAATAAATAATAAATCAATGTTCCGAGACATCTTGTGCAGAAATATTGGTAGCTTTTTTAAAAAGAACAATTAAGCCATGTAAACAAGTAAGTTGAGCAGACACCATTACGGAACCTGCATACCTTTACAGTATTATTTTTACATATCAATAAGATACATACATATATACAAACCAAGACCCAAGTATCTGTGGTGACATGGTTTTATAGTAAACTGTAATACTTCTAGAATAAGGAATTGTGCCCAACCTGTTGAATCAAACCTGGTTAAGATTTCTCAGGTAAGTTGTCATTTTTTTCTTGCTTCCCTCTCCCACTCTTTTCAAAAATGATTCTATGTGTCTTTCATACCGGCAGTAAAATATGTTAAATTCTTTATTTTTTTTTATTTCTATGACACTAAAGGGATGAAAATTCAATTTTTCAAGAAACCTAAACTTGTTTTACTTTCACTTTGGCAATGACGGTTTCAGAATACAGATAATGTCATTAGAAAAAAAAACACATACTATAAGCTAAACCACAAACATGGGCATTTTGACCAAGTAATGTTAAATAACAATAAAACAAAACAAAAAATCCCCAATGGCAAAAATACCTTGATCATCCGCCATGTTGATGAACACGCCGATTGTAAAATGTAACGCGAAATTGTATTGGGTAATCGAAATAGAGATTTATGGTAAGGCTAAATGACGAAAATATAAGTACAGAAAGAAGTGTGTTTCATTTTTAAAATTGCATTTAAATGCTTATTTATTAAATTATTATTTAAACAATTTTATATTTAAATTATGAACAAATAATATGCGATAAATATTGATAAAGGGTATTAGAGATGTTTGATTAATAATCTAATTTTCTTTATATACAATGGGTCATTAGACAAACCGAAATCGACAAAACTAACGATTTGTGATTCAGCTGATCCACACATTTTGATTTTCTGCCGCTGGAATTTTCTGTCGCCCTGTCGTGTGGTAGACAACGGGAAAAATAGAGCAAACACCCAGAAAACGACAACACACGGACTGTGTGTTAAGCAACATGACAACAGTGGCAGACGACGTCTCTAATATCCCGTCTAACAAAGACTTTTCGACACTACAGCCTAATTTTGCTCTTTCTCCTAAAAGAAAGAAAGATTTTGAAAATGGTACTTTTAATTTTGATTAAGATTATTTCTTGTTATTTTGATATTTTCATATTTTCCCTAAATGTATATGTTTATGGTAATAGAAATAAGCATAAACCTATGCGTACAGGTTATCATGTGTATGAGGAGGAATGGAATTTTTTGATGCATAAAAGAGCAAGAAATGTACTACATATAATTATTTGTAAATTTTAATTGACCAAAAACAATATTTAGATACTAGAATCAATATCACTGCTGAGAGTTGATTTAAATTGAACCCGTGTTCCTTTTAAACCAATGTGATTTATATATTTATATATATAAATGAACAATTCTATTTATGTAAATATAAAATAATCAGCTATGGTTTTTAATCAATATGCATTAGGATACATGTATAAGAACCTTAGTCCTATGTTGATACCCCATAAAAGCATCAATCATGCATCAGAAAAATGTGTCAAGGGGATATATGTGCATTTTATTCAGGGGTGTGCAATTAGCATCGCCCGACGCCCGGGGCTACCACTTTTTGGGGTCGGGCTAGTGATTTTCTGCATGGAGGTAGCCCGTCGGGCTAGTAAAAATTATAACTACACACGCAATACATGAAAAGCACAACCTGTATTTTCAATCGTTTATGCTATCAAATTCCCAACCAATGAAAATTTTTCTGACAACATGCTCCTACTCTCAATAAATCTCCATAATTTTATCTGTTTTGCAGCACTACCTGACTTATTTACTTCCAAAAACGATCGTTTTTTCCTAATCCAAATTTCCTCTATTCTTTCGTTTGTGGTAAATACATGCAGATATCTCATAAAATTATATACGATCACTCAATCAACTGAAAGATAAGTGTTTTATGACTCACATAAAATATATTTAAAGTGTATTTAATGATTTAAGATGAAAACAAAATGAATTAAATTTCATTCTAAATGAGCTAGTGCAATGTTCAGAAAAAGGGAAGATAATTCATTTAAATTCATTTTAATCTTCTTTCATTATAATTTATACATGATTTAATTTCATAGTGAGAGTTAAAGTTTAATTTCAAAAAGAATGACCTCAGTACCCTGACTTTTTCAACAATTAATTTCTTTTCAACAAATAGTTTTTTTTATTTTAATTTTTGCACCTATATTTGGGCTAGTAACTTTTCACTTGGGACTAGTAACTTTATAGCTGCCACTAGCCCGTGGGCTAGTAATTGATTTTTCTAATTGCACACCCCTGTTATTAGTATCATCTTCAATACAACCCTGCAGAAAGGCATTATAATGTCTATGCAACCTTTTAATCAAGCATTTGGACTATCCTGACAGCATATACATGTACATGTACTGTCATCCTCCCTCCCATCAGTAACTCTGATCAGAACATCCATTTCCTGAAGCTCATCTTCAAAATTTGATATAAACAAGGAAAATGAAATATAAATAACTTGCTGCAAGTTTCTATGGTAATTCTATAAAAAGATCAACTAGTGATGAAACGATTGTCACTGACAATCAATTTTGACAAAAAATGAGCGAATCTGTCTAAATGTACTAAATGAGCAGGCTTAAAATAAGCTTTATATTTGAAGCTCAGCCATATTACATTTGAGGATTTGTGTACCGGTAATTATTTTTTTTCCTCGATTGAAGCTCAACTTTTCTAGACATCTTATTATACTAAAATTACTATAAAATTATTTTGATAGCAATTTAAATAACAGATACGATACGGAAACATAATAATAAGAAACTTAGTTGATCTTAGTTGACATATTTTGTCTTTTAGATTTTGACACTGATTGGAAACAGTCCAATGAGGAGCTTGAGGTCAATATCAGATTGGATTTTCTGAGTATGGGGGTCAAAGAGCCAGATGACATTGATGTCACATTCAGCGATAATGACGTTGTCATAGGATTTCCAAGTATGCATTAAACTTTATAATTTATATACTTGATTGAATGAATAAACATGCATTTACTTTTGGATGTAGAAGATTGAAGTTGATTAATATTTTTTTTTTTTAATACAGATGTCTTCTTTACTAATTTTACTGTATGAGAAATTTCCTCAGTCATTATACATGTTATATTTGAAATGTTCATATTTGATTCAATTAAGTTAAAACTGCTATAAAATCTCTTGTGATGAAATAGAACCTATAGTATGTTTTTTTTATTCCAAATTATCTGTTACATGTAGTTTTTTTTTTTTTTTACATTTTAAAAGTAATGTGTGGGACAACAATTAATAGACGGTATAGAATGAGAAGTTTTGTTATAACTATTAGGTGGGAAGAAATGGACCTGTGACTTCTGTCATCCTGTGCTTGGAGAAAAGTGTAAAGTTCAAATTAAAAAACACAAGGTCATCCTCAAGGTTAAAAAGAGAGAACCAGGCATTTGGAAAGATTTAATGGTGAGTATTCAGTGTGTAAATGTCTTGTACATCATTCATTTCATATTGTAAATTACAATTCAGATTTAGATTAGTAAGTTTCATATTTTTAGCTCACCTGAGCTGAAAGCTCAAGTGAGCTTTTCTGATCACATTTTGTCCGGCGTCCGTCTGTCTGTCCGTCTGTCTGTCCATCTGTCTGTCCAGCTGTCTGTCTGTCCATCTGTCTGTAAACTTTTCACATTTTCGACTTCTTCTCAAGAACCGCTGGGCCAATTTCAACCAAACTTGCCACAAAGTATCCTTGGGTGAAGGGGATTCAAGTTTGTTCAAATGAAGGGCCACGCCTTCAAATGAAGGGCCACGCCCTCATTCAAGGGGAGATAATTGGGAATTAATGAAAATTTGGTGGCATATTTTAAAAATCTTCTTCTCACAAACCACAGTGCCAGGAAAGATGAAACTTATGGGGAAGCATGCTCAGGTAGTGTAGATTCGAGTTTGTTCAAATCATGACCCCCGGGGGTAGGGCGGGGCCAAAATGGCCGACCAAAGTTTTACATAGAAATATATAGGAAAATTCTTTAAAAATCTTCTTCTCAAGAATGACAAAGCCATAATTGATCATATTTATATTTATATGGAAGCATGCTCAGGCCAAAATGGCCGACCAAAGGTTTACATAGAAATATATAGGAAAATTCTTTAAAAATCAAGAATAACAAAGCCATAATTGTTTGTTCAGGTAGTGTAGATTCAAGTTTGTTTAAATCATGACCCCTGGGGGTAGGGCGGGGCCAAAATGGCCGACCAAAGTTTTACATAGAAATATATAGGAAAATTCTTTAAAAATCTTCTTCTCAAGAATGACGAAGCCATGATTGATCATATTTATATGGAAGCATGCTCAGGTAGTGTAGATTCAAGTTTGTTCAAATCATGACCCCCGGGGGTAGGGCGGGGCCAAAATGGCCGACCAAAGTTTTACATAGAAATATATAGGAAAATTCTTTAAAAATCTTCTTCTCAAGAATGACAAAGCCATAATTGATCATATTTATATGGAAGCAGGCTCAGGTAGTGTAGATTCAAGTTTGTTCAAATCATGACCCCCGGGGGTAGGGCGGGGCCAAAATGGCCGACCAAAGTTTTACATAGAAATATATAGGAAAATTCTTTAAAAATCTTCTTCTCAAGAATGACAAAGCCATAATTGATCATATTTCAGGGGATGACAAATCCCATTTCCCGATGCCCGGGGCTAGTGAATTTTAGGAGTGGGCAAGTGAAATTTTATCAACCACTTGCCCGTGGGCAAGTGCCATAAAAAATAAATCAATATGTTAGCCATAGATTTAAAGCTGGGTATAGAGGCTTGCATGATCTACTCAGTCTTTTTTTTAAAAATATTTATAAATACAGTATTATTTAGTTTATGGTAGGGCAAGCAAAAATTCACGTAGGGCAAGTGAATTTTGACCATGTACTTGCCCGTGGACAAGTGCCTTAAAAATCTATTTGTCAGCCCCTGTATTTATATGGAAGCATGCTCAGGTAGTGTAGATTCAAGTTTGTTCAAATCATGACCCCCGGGGGTAGGGCGGGGCCAAAATGGCCGACCAAAGTTTTACATAGAAATATATAGGAAAATTCTTTAAAAATCTTCTTCTCAAGAATGACAAAGCCATAATTGATCATATTTATATGGAAGCATGCTCAGGTAGTGTAGATTCAAGTTTGTTCAAATCATGACCCCCGGGGGTAGGGCGGGGCCAAAATGGCCGACCAAAGTTTTATACATAAATATATAGGAAAATTCTTTAAAAATCTTCTTCTCAAGAATGACGAAGCCATAATTGATCATATTTATATGGAAGCATGCTCAAGTAGTGTAGATTCAAATTTGTTCAAATCATGACCCCCAGCGGTAGGGCAGGGCCAAAATGGCCGACTAAAGTTTTTAAAGAGATATATAGGAAAATTCTTTAAAAATCATTTTATAAAAAATAGCAAATCCATGATTGGTCATTGGACTACTTTTGGATTTAAACTTTACAATAAAAAGCCACTTTCTACTTTTTCCTACTCTTAGTGCTCAGGTGAGCGATGTGGCCTATGGGCCTCTTGTTTTCTTTTCTCTGCTCAAACAAGTATAAAGCTGAAAAATTTTTGTTTTACCTAACAATATATTTACATTTATAAACTGCAATGATTGTTAAAGATGTAGATAAACAGAGATGCCTTGGGGGTAAAACAAAGATTAATGATAAACCTGTACCTTTTTATTTACAGGCCTCTCCTTTGGAAGCGTCTAAGTCTGACTTCAGTTGTGATTCACCAGATTCACCTTTGAGTTCCCCCTCAGGGTCCTCAGAACTGTTTGACCCCCTACGCAGTGTGACCTCTATGTCTGTTAATTCTCAAACAGAGGACACTGACAGTGGGGTTCAAACAGGGGACAGAGAAGGAGAAAAAGATGGTAAAATTTTAATTTTTCAAAAAAGTTAATATCTTTCCTAAAAATTTATTTGTATAAATTATTAAAATTTTATAGAAAAAGAATTCCAGGTGAACTTAATTTTCTCATTGCATTACTAATGAACCTTGTGTGGGGCATTCACATCCTCTGGACATATTTCTGATTTGTTTGAAATAATTAGAAATTATTAACATAAAATCATTAATTAGTTTTTGTTATTTTAAATGTTAAAAAACAAATATCAAATAGGAAAAAATATTTCTCTTGAACATGTTTACAGTATCTTTAAATATATTTAATTCACTAATAAGAAAATTTAAAATCTATTTTTTTCCAGAACCTGTTTATGATCTGAATCATGTAAAACATGATTATATAGAAAAGGTAAGATTGAAACATTATAGACAACACACTCTGTGCACAATTAAATCATTGAATGTTATTTCTTAAAAGCTCTTCATATACTTCCTACTTATGGTAAATACAAATGTACATTGTATAAAGTACAAAGTAATCTGTCATGGCCCAATTCAACGAGATTTTTCTTAAAGCTATTTAAAGATCAGTGCTATTTCAGAATCTACTTCTTGAATTTTTTTTTTTTAAATTAATCACTAAATGTGCCTTGAATTTGATGTTTATGAATAAAAAAAAAAATGATGAATTTTATTCATAAAGAAAGAGGGCATACAAGGCGTTGACAATGCCCCACACTGATATTACATGTTTCTCAATTTCCAAAATTGACAGAAAAATTATATTTTTCTGAAATCATGTTCCCAGTAATGTCATCTTCAAAACATTTTATTATTTTATTTTACTACGTGACTTATCATTTGACAATCTTTTTTCATATCTAGTGAAAAATGAGTTTACTAGCGCTATAAAAATGAATTTTGAACATGAATGGGTCAAGTCTTCATTCTTCGTTAATGCTTAAATGATGGAAATGTAAATATGAAATCTATTTCATTTGTCCAAAAATGGAATCTGAACCCATTCTATATGAAAATCGCACATTTCCGAAAAAATGTACACTTCAATAAACCCGTTCATTTAAATCACACTGACAGACATTGATAACACATGCAATTCCGTAGTATAGTGGTTAACATGTTTGGTCTTGCATCAAACCCTGCGCTATGGAGATACATGTAGTTTAAATCATACATGAAATTTAAATTTAGAATTGAGAAATGTCTTTTCTCAGAGTGGGGGATTGTCCTCACCTTGTAGGCCTCCATTATTTGGTAGTACAAATGTATATTGGAGAAAGCTTTAATGATTATGTCATATCATCACTTAAATTTTCTTTGTGTTCATGATATGAAGTTTTACAAGTGGAATTTTTAAAAAAGAAAAATGGGTTTATCATAAAAATTACAGCACTCTCAACATTTCCACATATATACATGCAGTATTCCTATGTAAAATTTGATCAACCATTGTGCCCCCACCTTCTCTTGGGGTCATACCGGATAATTTAAACAGAGTCTACACCACCTAAGATGCTTCCACATAAATATAACTAATTTTAACTTTACTGCTCTTTTACGTTTTAATTCATAGGTAGAACTGATATCCCATTGTAGCCTCAACCTAGCACCTGGGTTTGAATAACTTAATGTATATATGTTGCATTGTAGTGATTATATATGTTTCTTCTCTCTTACAGGATTTCCTGTTCACGTTACATGTGTATGTTAAGGAAATGAAGAAAGATTATGTTAAAGTTTTGTGTGAGCCCAGGAATCTAACTGTCCAATTTCAGACATTGTGAGTAAAGACTGAAATACAATACAGTAATGTGTAATTTCAATGTTTAAGCGTTCAAAATGGCAGACACCAGGTCTGTTAAGATAATGAACACTTTATCAAGATTACAAATAAATGCATCATTCTTTACTTTAAAAAGAATGAGTCCTTTCATGGAATTTTACTTACAACAAGCTAAAAATGAATTCAGAGAAAATTTCTCAGATTTTGTGCGGAAGTAAATTTCTATACGTGTAATAAAATACAATGCAAGTTAAATCTAGAAGCTTAGAGCACCCTACTACTTGCACCTTTTTCCTGTTTTTCAGAGATCAGAAATTTTTACAGTTACACCCAGGGACAACTGATGAAACAACGTTTGTCTGGAAAGTCAACTTAAAGTAAGTATCAATTTTCCTGTTACTGTGATGGTAACTCTAGCATTTTATGAAATTTAACTGAACAGGGCATTAATTTTAAGTGTAAAAATTGGTAAATAGTAATATCAAGATATTTTTAAACATGTTCATATACATGTAGATGAATTCATACATCAGCACTCTCAGTTAAAAAAGGCTGAAGTTGATAATTTATTGAATGGTTACAGTAACATACAGTCATCAAGGGTCCAGGTGATGTTTAAAGCACTTCCAACTGAAACTGTCAAATTCTGATTTTTCAGAAATTTGGAGGGCCAAAAAAGCAACTAAGTTAACTTTGCTCTTTGTAGGCATTGCATATACATGTTTAACTATACAATTGCAATCTTTTCTCAACAGAGGAGAGATTTTACCAGACAAGTGTGTACATCGGGTGACAGGAACTATGCTAGAGGTCAAAATGTTTAAAATCAAGCAGGAACGATGGAGTTCACTGGAGCCAAGTCAACACAAAGGTTAGCAACAACCACTAAATCAAACAAAATTTTTTTTTTTCCTTAATTTTCATAAAGAAAATATCTGGAAGTTTAATAAATTTAGAAAATTACAAATATTGAGATGATTTCCTTAGATATTTTTTGTGTCTATGTAAATAGGTATGTTTCTGATATAGCTGATGATACATTACAATGAGATTTTGCTATAAATTTTAGCTACAGCCACCACCGATTCTACCACAGTGAGATCTGATGGATGGATTTCTACAGGTAAAAATAAACCCCCCTCCACCACCACCACCACTAACACTGAATCCCCCACCACGGGTCAGGTGTCATTTGATGAACTGGCAGAAGTGGGCGTGTCCAAGAAGTCAGATGTTGAGATGGAGAACAAATCGTCAGAAATGGGAGCCACTGGTGTCAGTAAAGATACTTATGTCCAGGTGAGACTAGAACTCAGCTAGACCTTTCATGTAGAGACGAATTTGAACAAATGAAAGGAGATACATGTAATTTGTTAGTTTGAATAAAAAGATTTTTTATACAGTGTATTGTTTAATGAGAAATCAATTTTAACAATTGCAGATAAAAGTGTGTAATGAAATTGATTGTGTCATTGTGCCATTAAATATTAAAAATATGAAATATACATGTAGTTTAATTTGTGTGAATGACATATTTACTTCTTAACATAATAATAATATGCATACACTATGGTATTTAAGTTTTCCCTGTCCATTGTAGAAGCCTACTTGTAAAGTCTCACCTATGAACAAGAACCTGATGGAACAGTGTGTGCGGCCGGGAATGACAGGGCTGGATAATCTGGGAAATACCTGCTTCATGAACAGCGTACTGCAAGCATTATCCAACACCACAGAATTCAGGGATTTCTTTCTACGTAATTATCTATATTTTGAAAGATTTATAATTTTATCTAAAAAATCAAAAGCAAGGGAAGCTGGGTGGCTTTTTTTTTTTTTTTTTTTTTTTTTATCTTTGATGAATTTGCTTCTAACAATGGATGATTGTTCCAGTATGTGATTTGATTTTACCATATTTAAAAGTTTAACAAAGAGTAAAATGAATACTTGATTAAATCCACACAAAGCAGCTCATAGCGCATTGTTTGATGAAGCTCAGAGGCAAGTGGGTCAATAAAATTTAAGTTCTGTAGGATGATTATAGTGAATGACAGCTGTATCTTCAGAACATCTAGGATATTTTATGAAATTTTAAATCAGAAGTCTATTTTAGGTTTTGAAAATTGATAAAGAAGTTTAATGGAAAGGTAATAAATAAATAACCTTTTGTTTCTATGATTAGAATCCAGGTACCAGAATGACATCAACACAGATAACCCACTTGGAATGGGAGGCAAGCTAGCTGTCTCGTATGCAGTTCTACTTAAAATGTTGTGGTCAGGCACCCACTATTCTTATGCTCCCTCCAAACTGAAGGTACAACCTGTCACACATTATGCTCTTTAGTGAAATCAAGGAATTCTTTTGGTTATTAAAATATGGATGTTAAAGAATTTCTGTATCAAGATTACAAATTTCTGTATCAAGATTACAAGTGTATTCCGATATTTAGTTCTTTACCCAAAAGTTAAGTAGAATATCTAGTGCAGCCTTAACACAATTCATTGAAAGTTTATGAAAGAATAGTTTTGATTGTCCTAATGTGTTACAGAGTACATGTATCTTTAATTACCTTTGATTTGTTTACAGAGTTTAATTGCACAGAAGGCCAGTCAATTTAATGGATTTGCCCAGCATGATGCTCAGGAATTCATGGCTTTCTTTCTTGATGGTCTTCATGAGGTGTGTATGATAAATTGATTTATCTCAGAGAGAGAAAGTCCTAGTTTTTGGGAGCTTATCTTCTTAGGATTATTCATCTTTCATGTAAATAATCAGTACAGTGTACTTGTATTTGTGATTGAACTTCTATGTCAGCAAATTTTTTTTTGCTTGTTATAAAAAAAAAGGCCGGGGCAAATACAGAGTTTTTGCATCTTACAAAAGTGGTTTCACTCATCCCCTCCATCCTCTTCAACAGAAAGTGAATCACCTGATGAATACAAGATTTAACATTACTATTTTCACACAGGACCTAAACAGGATTAAGGATAAGCCTTACACAGAAACAGTGGACTCGGATGGGAGGCCAGATGAGGTCTGTATTTGTTTACATTCCTCTTGTTGTGGGTCAAGTTTGGCCATGAGACATTTAAGTCAAATTGAATTAACCTTAAAAACATGCATATGAGAATTGTTCAATTGTCTTATCTGACACATGTGTTATCTGTTACCAGTTATATGCTGGTGTTTGTTTACATTCCACTTCTTGAATTAACCTTAAAAACATTGCAAGAATTTTTCAATTGTCTTACAAATATCTGACACCTGTGTTATCTGTTCTGCAATCCCAACATTTATTGTCATTCCCAGTTGATTTACATTTTCTTTGTACAATCTAACACCATAGTCTGTTTTGAGACAGAATTTGTATTCAAGTGCATGTTGGTTTAGACAGGTTTCTCTTTATTTTGAATTTGTTCATTGAAGGTCAGCCATACAAATGTATAATTATTGAAATTTTTTATGTTTTAGGTAGTAGCAGATGAAGCATGGGAAATGTACAAGAAAAGAAATGACTCCTTTATTGTGGATCTCTTTCAAGGGCAGTACAAGTCAAAACTCACCTGCCCTATCTGCGGAAAGGTAGGTGACCTTTTCTCCATTCTTCTTATTCCTTGTTGAAATAGATGACAGAGCTTCTATTCTTGATGATGGACAGTTGAGTTGTCATATTTTCCCATTATTTTTAGATCTCTATAACCTTTGACCCCTTTTTATACCTGTCACTTCCTCTTCCTAAGAAGAAGCGCTTGTTACCTGTGATATTTATGTGGAAGGATCCTTATAAGAAGCCAGTGCAAGTAAGACTTCATTTCAAATTGAGACTAGATAAAAAACATATCTCTCAACCAAAAAAAATTGTCGTGTAGGAACGATACTGCAGTTGATTTGTGCTATTTAATGACATAAAGCTGTCGTGTAATGCCACCTTAATGTTATTCTTTAAATACATATCTCTATTGTAGCTGGTTCTGAGGCTGCCTAAGGAATGTACGACAGAAGTCTTGAAAGAAGAGGCTTCAAAAAAGACAGGAGTGAAACCATCAGCTGTAAGTTATTCACATGTGAAAGATCTATTATGTACTTAAATTATGATCGGAGACAAAAAGAAATGAGATTAAAGATTTTCTGAACATTTTAAATGCAGATGGGAGTATATGAAACATACAAAGGGAAGATCTACAAATTTTATGGGAAAGGTACAGATCTGAGTGCAGTCCAATCAAATGACACAATATTAATGTAAGTATTTCTTAGGGTCTGCGAGATAAATTTATTCCATGAATCAAGTAAGATGCCTAATGCTGTGAAATAAGTAAGACATAAAATGAATAAGTAAGGTGAACAATGTAATTGAGCATACAGTAAAACACGGTTATAGGGACAGCGCTTAAAATGAAATGCACTGATAGTGAAGTTATTTTCATTTCCCCATGACTTTTAAAATAAATTGTTAAATAAATGGATATGTCGAATTACACTTATAATTAAGCAATATTGTCTGTACCTTGCACTTCGTTATAAGCATGTTTTAATGTACATATATCAAGTACTGTTAATACTTGGACTTTGGGACGTTGATCTAATTCTGTTTTACAGATCTGAGGTTTTGACAGAAGACATTGCTGGAGAACCTGTACACGAGATATACGTCGTTCAAGTAAGCTGCACTTTCGAAATAAGTTTTAAAGAAGTTAAAAGGAATTTGCGACTGATGCTTTAATACATATCTTTAAAATTGACACAATCTCCTTTGATAAAATGGTAAAGTTGGAGCTATGTATTCAGTTTTGTTACTTTGAATAAGAATTTGATTTTGCCAAACAGAAAAAAATAAATTTCTATTATTATTTATTTTTTGTTAACAGAGAACAATAATGCCAAACCAGGTTCCCACGAGATGTTCCTCTTGTCGTCGCCCGTGCCCCGATGGCTCTAAACTTAAGAGGTGTACCAAGTGTTTTAAAGTGGGATACTGTGACCAGTAAGTGTGATGTAATGTCTGAGTGTACTGAGTGGGGAATGAAAAGATCAATACAGCTGACATATTATAGTACAGTATGTCTGGTAGTTTTGGAGATTTGAAGAAGTGTATTTGTAGAATTTAAAAAAAAATTGCCAAAAAATTAAGTGCCAGCATTTCCAAAAATCTTTCAGAGTTATTTTAATAGAGTGGTCAGTTGTTTCTGTACTTATTATGAAAACATATAAATGCTTGCAATAAATCTTTAATATATATGCAATGTATGCAAAATTTAAATCCATATACAAAATTGTTCCTTGTGACATCAGTAGAGATAAAAAAGAGTGCACATCTACATGCATCTCTTGAATTAAAAGTCTTGTTTAAAGAAAAGGATAATTTGATCCTAAGTCATTAGAGCAAGCTCCAAGCTTTGACAAAAGTTGACCAGCTCAAGAAAAAAAGATTAAACTTGAATTTAGAATTAATATTACATGTACAGTATTAATGAGAAACCCAGTAAAAAAAGATTTGGTAGCCAGTATTAACAATAAAAGTACTTGAATTTTACTAGACATCCTTCATGTATATTGAATATGTTTATAAATGGTGGGTTTAGCTATTGAAATGCACTGAGTTTGTACTTATTTTATGGAAATTACAGCACATGTCAGAAGAACCATTGGATGTTACATAAGAACCAGTGTAACATGATCCCCGAGCCTGTGGGTTCTCCGTTCATCGTCAGCATTCCAGAGTCCAGGGCCACCTTCTCACGGCTCAGCACACTGATGGAGGCCTATGCCAGGTATTTTGTAGTATTCTGTGTTTTTTATCAAGAAAAGACAAAAGATTCACTCTGCTTGCTTCAAAATACATATAATTAAGGTTTCTTTAAAGTTATTCTATTAAGAGTTAGCTTTTTTTCTGAAGAAAATAGTTACATACAATTTATGTTCCATCATTAAAGAAGCACAAAATAGAATATTATTACTATGCACTAGTATCTGGTATAATAAAATGATGGATATCTTGCTTTTCCGTATAATGTATAATGGTCACATAATATTTTTGGCACTGTTGATATTAATTTTTTTTTAATTCATCCATTTAAGGTACTCAGTAGATGTATTCCAGCCCCCTGTCAAGACAGAACACAAGATCCATTCCTCAGGCATGAGCAGTAGTAGTAGCCAATCAAGTGGAAGCATCAACAGTCTGGACAGCCAATCATCTTGTAGCAGTTCCTGTACCATCACAGCAGAACAAGGACCCACAGAGGATAAGGTGGATTTTTTCATCGGTGATACAAACCTAGTGAGATGCTAATACAGATAGATGTAGCATACAGATTGTCTTAGGATTATTCTTTGATTTTTCCCTTTTGTTTATTTGTCATGGGTTCTTTTATGAATTATAGGATAAAAGAATCTTAATCTATTATTACATGCATGTATGACTTTAAGAGGTTTTTATGTGGAAGAATTAGTTTTTAGAAGAAATTTTTAGAACTTAACTCAGAAAGGTACCCCACAATAGATTTCCAAAATTGTAACCACAATTTATTTACCATGTATTGCACAGAAACCCCTTTTGCTTCTGATCATGTCTGAGAAAAAATTCGTTAGAAGTTTGTATAAGATATGTAACGGTAAAAAAGCGTGTTTTGAATTACAATTATGAATCATTTTTATGCAAAAGAATTCAATGGTACTTAATGTTGGCAATATTTTAAACTAAGAATTATTGAAAATATTAATGAACTAATATTTTGTGTGCTAGACTAATGCTGAAATGGTTTTTATTATCTCTACAGTGAGCAGCCATAATGTTTAATAAAATGTACAGAGCTCTGATTGGTTCCTTTCATTAATATCTGCTTAGCTTGCTGAGTAAACTAAACCTTGTGTTTCAGTCTTTGGACCTGAGCGAGGGTAATATGAGCACGGACAACAGTTACTCCAGTCTGCAGATGGGGAACGTGAGTGATGGATCCTCCACCAGTATCGGCGCCAAGGCTGGGAGTATCTCCTCCCTGGACTCGGCAGGTAGCGGGAGCGGATCCCAGTCCTCTCCTGTATCGGGGGACATGGATATCAGTAGTGACTTGAGGGAGAGTCCAGAGGATGGGGACCAGGGGAATTCACCAGAGTCAGCCTCCTTCAAGACTCCCAATCTACCAGAGTTTTCATCTTTTAAGATGCCTAAAACGTAATTATTGTGTGTACTGGTAGAGATTTTTATCCCGGGCCTGTTCACTAATGCATGTTAATAGATCCTGTAGGTGCTGGGATTGAATGCTTGCTGAATATGTACATGTACTTATAGCTTTTTAAAATTCTTTGAATATCATGAAAAGAAATTATACTTTTATTTCATGATTTAAGACACCAAACATATATTGATTTGAATTCATAGCAAAACCTGAATTTGGAACTAAAAATGTTTTACAAAAGCAAGATGTGGTATGTTTTGCAGCAATGAACAAGATCAGTTTGGAAAATCCTCTTCTGACAATGAAACTGACTTAGAGAAGACCAAAACTGTTCCCACCAAGCAAGTCTTAGGCATCAAGTCAGACGAGATGGAGAGATCAAAGCCCCTGTTTTACATGAAACCTGTCAATCAAGATGGGGTGGGGATCCGGGGACCTGAGGGGGAGAGGCTGGAGGATTTAGGTAGGAATCAGTCACAGCCGTAACAGGTTAAAGGAATTAATACATGTATAGTGCAGACAACAGTTCTATACACTCTTTATACATGTTGGTAGTGTGTCGGTAGCTACAGATGGATATTATTTATATTTACAGGAGATGAACCTCTAGATCTTACTTATAAACAGTTTCTCTCTATTGACTGGAAGAATCATGAGAAATTTGATTCCTATGTTTTGGTACAAACCAAAGATATGGTGAGTGTTAGCCAGACAGAGAGGAATTAAGAATAATGCACTAACAACTAATGTGTACTTATTGATAAAAGAGTCATGACACTTAAGTTATATCTGGTTTTAAGTTTTATTTTTATTTTTCTCAGGAGTATGAAGAAGATCCAAGCAATTCTTCTCCATATAATGAAGGTATATGATTGTTTCAATGAAGATGCATTTAATGCATACCCCTATTCTATTATGACAGGCCCTAGTCGTTTGCTAGAGACAAGATCATAATGTAAAAATTCTGAACAAAAGAAACGAATATATGCCACTGGAGGATTCTTCATAAGAGAAAGCAAGGAATTGTGGGTCTTTTGTAGATTTTTACATGGTTTACATAGATTAGTACATTAAAATTTTAACCCTATTGTGGTTTATCTATTTTGGATTAGGTGTATGAATAAAACCGATTAGTTGTTTTTAGTATCTTGCTCATAAAATAATATTTGGCTTTGCCAACTTTAAAATTAATATATTTAATTATTTCCATCTGATATTTTTAAGGTAGATAACCATATGCAGGTTGCAACAGCTGAATATTTAGAAATGATTGGAACATTACTTGTATGCATAATATATATATAATAAAGCTTTTGTTTAAAATTTCAGATTCAGGAAACATTAATATCCAGCAGTGTATGGACCTGTTTACAGAGCCTGAGATCCTCAGCCCAGAGGAAGCCTGGTAAACTGATATCTAAATGTTTTATATTAAGCTTTGTTTATACATAGCAGCATAAGGCCTGGTAAACTTTGTGTCATATGATAAACTCTGTGTTTTTCTCACTAACTGATATGTACTGTGAAGTTTAATCTTCGAAAGACCGATACTGTAAATTCTAAATACACGAGGAATTTAGTGTGGCGTAATTTCATGAGAAGCAGTATTCACAATTTAATTTTTTTATGGCTGAAATACAATGTAGAAGGTCTCGATGAACAGACCACTTGCAAATTTATGTTCCTATACTAAGAACTTGCATAATAAAAGGAATACATTGTAATTAGAAATGTCTTAAAATTGTTCCTGAATATTTTAGAGGTAAAATTCCTTACCACATATATATCACGATGATAAGATTTATATTTAGGCTATCTAAATTTAATTTTCTGGTTCTCAGGCCAATTTTCTCCAAAACAGATGCGGGAGGGAGGCATTTTATTTATCATTTTATTGGCAATAAAGTAGATGAGGGAGGTATTTTTATAATTTTAATTTTCGAATTTTCTTTCACATAAAGATAATTTTTTGAATCACAGATATACTTTCCATGTCTGATCAAAAATTTTGTTTATTTCCATTGCTTATCAGCATGTGATCATCGTAGGCAATGTCTTTGAATGTATTTTCAAACGAAGTAGCCGAAGTCTCTTTGAAAATGCACAAGATGAAACACATCCTTTAAGCCTGGTTTAATGGTGGCTTACAGGTCCTTAATGGTGGTTTAATGGTTGTCTTTAAGTCGCCATTAAGTCACCATTAAGCACCTTTAAGTAACATTTACACCACCATTAAGTTACCATTAAGCCATTTCAAAGTCCTTAATGGGTGCTTAAATGTACCTTAATGGTAGCTTAATGGTGGCTTAAAGGTCCTTAATGGTAGCTTTTAGACCACCATTAAGTCACCATTAAGCTACCATTAAGCCACACTTACAGGTGCTTAATGTCCAAACTCCATTAAGCTACCATTAAGCCACCATTAAGCCACCATTACGCAGTCGATAATACTGTTTTTATGGGTGAAAAATTATTTTTATAGTGAAATTTTTTCATAAAATATAAATGTCGAGTTCACACATATCTTGATTTGGTAAAAATAAGGAAAAAGAATGAATTCAAAATTGAAAAAAAAAAAAAAATCGCCACAAGTAAGGCGCGAACTCATGACCTTCCTATTCTGGGGCCATCGCCTTAACCACTAGGCTATAACCGCTCTTACTTCGTCTGTGAAATATTTAACCTTTATTTTTCACAATTTTTTTTTGGACTTGTAAAAGTATTTATTTTGTTGAACGTCTCCAAAATCTTGAATTTGATTTATTAATCAAACTATAAAGATTTTTATTTATGGATCTTTTTAAAAGGCTTATATCACATTCATATTTCTAAACCGTTGAGTTCGGCTTTTAAATTGTAATGAATTTATTAGAAGATTTATACGTTTAAGAATTAAATCATGATTGAAATTAATTATAGATATAACACAAAAAATCTATCATCGGGAAAGACAGATGAAATTTTTTTAAATAACAAAATATTCTGTGGATATCAACGGTTTTTGTGTCTAAGATTTACGCCTAGTGACAATCCTCGTTTACGAGTTACCTGGTTATGTTTACAAAAACTTATTTTCGAATATCATATTCAGTTAAAATTCTTTTTGTATCATAATGGGTATCAAAATAATTGTCATTTTACAATGAATCATAATTTTTAATTTGTTATATGCTTGCATTAAAGTTAAATTTTGTAAAAATAATTGATCATCAAAATCTGTTAGTGTACGTTGTGTATGTATAGTTTCCTGTTAGTTGACCGGGGACAGTGGACACCTAATTAAGGTCTGTTGTTTAACCAGTCGGTACTGTACACTGTTAATCTTACCCCGTTTCCCAATGTGTATAAATCTGGTCGGATGTCATGTTTAATCTGATCGGCTGTTCTTCTGAAAATCGATTTTGAAAAAAACAATGATTGAAGACCAACTAGATTTTGACAGATACTTACCGCTGCATTATAAAAAAAAAATAACGAATTAATTCAAATTATTCATGATGTAAAAGTCAAACCTTGAAAACTAAACATTTTTAGCTCACCTCAAGTTGGGGGGAGCTTATGTGATACCCTCGGCGTCGGTGTCGGCGTCCCGGGTTAAGGTGAAGTTTTTTGGAGCAGTTTTCTTTTTAAGTACTTTAAGTACTTCTATGCCCTATATTGATTAGACATGCATGGAAGATGTTGCTAGTGTGTTTCATTGTACCAGTCAAAGTTTCAGATGCTGCAATTTCAGCAAAGGAATGACCAGGTTAATGTTTTTGGTGCAGGTTAACATTTTTGGTGCAGTTTTTGGTGTAGGTCTCATTTCCGAGTAACTATAAGCCTTATGTTGACCAAACTTACATGGATGATACATCTTAGGATGCATACTACCAGCCTTGCTTCGGATGCTGAATCTGACCTACATTTTCCGGTTGAGTGAACAGGTTAAAGTTTTTGGTGAAGGTTTCATTTCGAAGATACTTTGAGCCCTATAATGACCAAACTTGCATGGATGGTACATCTTAGGATGTATTCTACTAGACTTTCTTCGGATGCTGAATCTGACCTACATTTTCCGGTTGAGTGAAGAGGTTAAAGTTTTTGGTGCAGGTTTCATTTCCAAGTTACTATGAGACATATAATGACCAAACTTACATGGATGATACATCTTAGGATGCATACTAGCAGCCTTGCTTCGGATGCTGAATCTGACCTACAATTTCCGGTTGAGTGAACAGGTTAAAGTTTTTGGTGAAGGTTTCATTTCGAAGATACTTTGAGCTCTATAATGACCAAACTTGCATGGATGGTACATCTTAGGATGTATTCTACTAGACTTGCTTCAGATGCTGAATCTGACCTACATTTTCCGGTTGAGTGAAGAGGTTAAAGTTTTTGGTGCAGGTTTCATTTCCAAGTTACTATGAGACATATAATGACTAAACTTGCATGGATGGTACATCTTAGGATGCATATTACAAGACCTGCTTCGGATGCTGAATCTGACGTACATTTTCCGGTTGAGTGAACAGGTTATAATTTTTGGTGCAGGTTTCATTTCCAAGGTACATGTACTATGAACCCTATAACGACTAAATTGCATGGATGGTACATCTTAGGATGCATACTACCAGACTTGCTTCGGATGCTGAATCTGACCTACATTTTCTGGTCAAGTGAACAGGTTAACGTTTTTGGTGCAGAATTCATTTCCAAGTAACTTTGAGTTGTATAATGAACAAACTTGCATGGATGGTGCATCTAAGGGTGCATTCTACTAGGCTGGCTTCGGATGCTGAATCTGACCTACATTTTCTAGATTAGTGGAAAGGTTAATTTTTTTATACAGGTTTCATTTGCAAGTAACTTTAAGCCCTATGTTGACCAAACTTGCATGGATGATACATCTTAGGATGCACACTAATGGACTTGCTTCAGATGCTGAATTCGACAATATACATTTTCCAGATAATAGACCTCGTAAAAGTTATGGGTGCAAGTCTATCACCAAGAAACTATAAAGCTTATATAAACCAGTTGCACAAATGATGCATAAAGGGATGAAAACTCTCAATCTTGCTTCAGATGCTGGATTTTAATCACATTTTCATGATGAAGAACTAGTTTTTAGTTTTTATATAGGTCTATTCCAAAGTATCAAAATTGCATAAATTTTGCATTTTTGGATTACACTTTTTGTTGGTTAATTGTGTGACTTAATTTGCCTTACTTAAAGACAACACACGTTGAGGTGAGCTCTGTAATCTCTGATTACCTATGTTTTATACCTGTGGCCCCAGCCCCCCCACCCCCCCTTCCAAAAAAAAAGACAGATTTTTTTTTCTAATGAGAACATGACTTTATATTCCTGGGAATTATGTAGTGGAATATGTTGTTTTTTAACACATGAAATAATAATACCATCTCTTTTTTAAAAAAAGTAATATAATTATATTTTGTGTTTATAAATAAAGATAATTTTAAGAACAAATTGATTTTCGGTAGTGAGAAATTAAGATATTTCACAGGGGGTTGGCCCCGGCGTGTAATAATATAATTATTTTTTAAAACAAAAATCATATACAGTTGTCAAATTATAAAACCATATGTAATAATTATTTATTTAAGAAAAAACCATATGCGGTAATAAGATAAAACTTCTTTTTTATGATACTGTAAATGATAAAAAAAATATAAGAAACCGGGAGCAAGCCCCTGTTAGCTAACTTTATTCTTAGTGCCCGAGATTTTGCATGTTGACAGAAATGTTATTTATAAATTACGATTGAGACAAAATTATAAATTACAAAAAAATAGATTTTGCGTAAATGACATTGAAATAACTTTAAAAGTTAGATCAAAGATTCGATATCAAATGCGTAAAACATAAAAGTTTAATGAGGTTTGACCATTAAGTCACCATTAAGCTCGGCTTAAAGGTGGCTTAATGGTAGCTTAATGAAGTTTGGACATTAAGCACCTGTAAGTTGCAGCTTAATGGTGGCTTAATGGAGTTAACTTCTTTAAGCACCATTAAGTCACCATTAAGCCACCATTAAGCGATTGCTTAAAGGTGGTCTTTCGTCTTGTGATGGCTACCGAAAGTGATATTTGAATACTAAACTACAAAAAAAAATGAGGATTATCAAAAATACAATAAAATTAGCAATGCGTCTACCTCAAAACGGATGTGCACGAAACTGAGAATCAGAATTTCAATTTTATTAGTCTTAGTGAATTTTGAGTCTTGTTTATTAAGGACATGGATTCTTAACTGGTGAGAAAATTTGTTGTTTACTGTACATGTATAAATAATATTGTATCTTACGATGATTAATATAAACAGTAAGAAATATACTTGACTGATGCATTGTGTTGTTATAACTAGGTACTGTCCTTCATGTAAGGAGCATCGCGAGGCCACCAAACAAATGTCTATCTGGCGCCTCCCACACACCCTCATCATACAGCTAAAGAGGTTCTCCTTCAGAAACTTCATCTGGAGGGACAAGATCGATAAAATGGTGGAATTCCCTGTCAGGTAAGAATGGATAAAATGATCTGTGATTTGCTTCTGAAAGCATTCTGTCTATCAGAACTGTGATACAATGAAGTATCAACATACTGTATATGCAGGACAAATTATGACATGATTAAGGTCTTCCGCTCAGGCGGAAGACCTTCTACTGATTCTGATGGTTAAGGTTATTCCTATTATTCTTTTTTTTTTTTTCCTAGACGCCAACTTTGAGACCTTGTAACTCGCTCATTTCTTAACGGATTTCGCTCAAATTTTCAGAGTTTTTAAACGTTACAAAACTCAGTTAGAATGTTTTCAAAAATTTCAAAAATTCTCTTCCGCTTTCGAGTTATTTCCCTTTAAATGAAAATTTGGTACTGTTTGTTTCCAGACAAAGGCTCAGAAACGACAAAAGCTGGAGCAGAAATTCTACTGAATTCAAATACTAGAAGAATTGAAGTTGTGCACATCGCTTTTTCTTTTTCGATTTCTGCCCTCAAAACGGTGCTAGATAGGGGTCAAAAATGAGAATGCCTTAAAGCGCAAAAATTGACATATATTTCCATATGTATCTTTTAAACTAAAAATAATTTGTTAAGACATGTTGAACAAATATTGTGCATAATTTTAAGATCTATCATTCGACATCATTAAAAAGGGGCTGGCTCCTCAAATTAGGGATTTAGTGACCTTGAAAGACCTTGAAAGTTTTTGCTCTATAACTCAAAAACGGTAAATATTTCGATATGGTTATTGATATGAAATGGGTTCTTTAACATCTTATTGATCTCATGAAAACGTTATTTTGTTCGAGTGATGTGTTATTAAATGAGCAGAAAACTTTATACTGTATAGGGGATTAATTTCACGGGTTGTAATTTTCACGGTTTTCTCTCATCTGACACGATCGCGGTTTCTTGAATTCGCGGAATTTGGTATGTGATAAAAGTTACTTACCTTGTCTCCATTTAATCCATACCATAGCTACATGTAAACTACATTAATCAGCGTTATGTCTTTATTTCACGAACAACAAGGTAAGTTATTAAAAAAATGTTCGATTTTATAAATAATTAATTAACACAAGTGCAGTTATTAATAGCCCCTAAACGTTAAATGACTTTCCTATATGCTATTACGATGAGTGCATGTGCACCAGAGATCTTCAATACAACGCAGCGAAAAACTACTGGACGGAAATAAAACTTTTTTTGTAGTTCTACGAAATAATATCCTTCCACACTTCCTTCGTCAGTAAATTCGATATTTATTTAAATGATTTTTTAAAAACCAAAATGTAGATCAAAACTACATGAACTAATATGCATGAGAATGCAGGTAACAAATATACGTGGTAACATTAGTTACGCACGGGTAATCAAAACCCATGGCCCACGTGTTTTGATTGATGAAACATGTAGCGTTGGCTATTAAAACACCTTTTGAACGAACACAATTTATTATCTGCCGATTTATATTAAAGTAAAACGTGATAATTAAAATTAATTGAATGACAGTACTACTCGCAATTACTGAAATGTCCATGAACTGCACGAACACCTATATAAATCTATCGTTTTCTATTCTCAATTTTCCAAATAAAACATGGAGATTATTGAAAATTTATTCACTGTTTCTTGATTTCACGGATTCATCAACACCGTGAATATAGCGAATATTAACACCGCGAGTTATTTTCCCCCTATACAGTAATCCATGTACAGGTAAGTGATTTTATACCGCAAGTGAAGAAGAATTCTATGTGCGTATGCGTATAACACGTATATAACTGAAATTAATGTAATAGGGTGGACAAGAATAATATACCTTTAGCTAAATTGAATGTTTAACTTTGTTTAAATAAGTTTTTAACGTATTCTCTAGCTGGATGTCATACAGATTATTCAGAGACAACTTTCTCCTTGTGTTAAGTTTAAATAACAAGACGGGGGAGGGGGAAAATACTTATCATCTTTCCTTCGATTAATATTCAATGTAGCATTATCATTATTATTTATGAAAAAAAATAATTCAAGCTTAAGCATTGTTAAGATAATTCACTGTCATTTAATTCATGCATCGTGAATTTTCCGCGGACCCTGACTGTTGAGTGTGTGTACTGTTATGAAAGCCGTTCATCGATCGCACATTGACCTATATACATTCATGAGGTCAACATTACCGCTCTTTGATTTTTACTCGAGTCCTAGATTATTTGCGTTAATCGTAAGAATATTTCTAGACACAAATATAAAGGTTTTCTTGAATGTGTATGTGTATTCAAAGATTTAAAAGTGTTGAATGTCGGATTCTTTTCTTTGACGAATGAATAAAATGTGCTGCTTTTCTCTGCTGCTCAGGTATCTGGACGAGTTCATTGGTTACACTGATAGGTGACACAAGATGACCTATCGATCACTCTGCCAATTTTGATAGTGATTTTAATTGCGCATGTACATAAATTAATGTTAAATTCTACCCTTGTGAAGTCCATTATAGTCTTGTTATTTAAAAAATTGGGGATATCAATACTGCAACTTGTTTTTGATTTGTACGGATGATTCTATTATTGGGAAGGTACACATGTAGTACGAGAATTTTTTAGGCCCCGTCTCCCCCTCCACTTCGAAGTAATTGCAATCGTTACATGCATACGGGCCTATATCAAGTTATTCTAATTGCTTTATATCAGAAAAAATTGCGATATTTTTTAAATTAGCAAATACAAATAAACATGGCAAATGCGCACAATAAATTGTAAGTGGAAGTGACATTTCCAATTCTCATGAAAATCGAAAATTAAATGAAACAACTTTGAGTTTTGCATGAATTGATACACAACTTATAATTGTATTGTACCGAATGTATTTCTTTTATTTCCTCGAATAAAAAGAATATCACTATGACACGATTTTACGGGTACATGATTGTAACACAGTACATGCTGTTTTACACGGAAGAGCGCCTAAAATATATACATTCCGAGCTTTCAGAATACGAGAGAAAAAAATGAATAATTAGAATTTTTTTTAACAAATGCAGAATTGTTTCTGAGAAAGCCATGTAGTTGCATACAAATATTCCAAGCCATTCTTTCGTGTTTATTGGACTAAAAGAGATTATTTAGAAATGTCCTCTCATCGCGATACGTAACCCCCCTTCCCTCAAATGATACAATGTTTTCCTTCAGAGTCGAGAATGTTAATTGGTTAGTTTGTTCAGGTACGTACAGGTCAGGACTGGTGTTGAAATCCATGATTAATCCATAACCTATTATAATGTTAACTAATAATCATACGCGACATTTTTTTTTTATTCGCAGGTTAACAAATAAATGAAAAAAAGATTAGTATGCGTCACTAAACTTTCCTATATATAAACGTTTTAATTTCTAAAACTTGTGCCGATTAGAGTGTTCAATCGAGCATCGAAATGTGTACATGTACTACATGTATTAGTTTCTTTGGGTAAGTGGAGGTACCAGTTTTTGCTGCATTTTATTTCCGGAATTTTGCATTGCATTTCCGACAATTAATAATGTCATTTTTAACATTCTTTATTTCATTCTGGATTTTTACACTATATTTCTAGCAATTTAAAGTTAACAAAGAAGATGGAATCATTAATTTAATAGAATATATTTGGTTAAAGTAACACAAGTGAACTTGTGATGAAAATTTATTAAACGTAAGTCAAGCAATAAAAAGTTAAAGTTTGTATTTTGAAAAATAAATCAAATCAAGTCACAGAGAACAAAGACAGGTTGTAAAGCTCACACACAGACACACACACAAACGTTTTGGTAACTCGGAATAGTCCAGAGTAAAACTATATTTTCTTGATGATGGAATGTCCAGTACAAAACTGACTCTCTCACGCAACATACGGGATTCACTCAAATTTCAATTAACACATTTACGCAATTTATATCATGCATACAAGTCAGACGCTCTTTGATGTTGAGGATTGACACTAATTCCTTAGATTGATTGATTGTATACTATTTAACGTCCCTCTCCAGAATATTTCACTGATATGGAGACGTCACCATTGCGGTGAAGGGCTGCAAATTTGGGCCTATGCTCGGCACTTACGGCCTTTGAGCAGGGAGGGATCTTTATCGTGCCACACCCGCTGTGACACGGGGCCTCGGTTTATACGGTCTCATCCGAAGGACCGATAAATACTGAGTGACAAATTCCTTTTTACTATTTAAACTCAAATTGATAGGTAAATAATTTAAGCATATGTCAAAAATAAGCATTAAAAATAATTCTTTCCATAAAATTAAATTCTGTTTAAACAATATAAAGCACTAGCAGCGCAAAGACAGACTTTAAAAAAAAATCAGAGGTGGAATCAGGCGAATTTAATCCTTTTATGACACCACCTACCCCGTATCGAGACAGTTTTGTATACGTTCTCATCGAAATGACCAGTCTCCACGTCTTGAACCTCCAACGTACTTGTTTTGCATGTACTTGAATAATATGTATTAATAAGTCTTTAAGGAAATCTCATGTAGGAAACCTGATTTGTATTCTAATATTTTCTAATTTTTTTATTATTATTCGTATTTCTCAATTTATCATGTTCGAATTACATGTTTTTATTTTTTTAGGGAACATTAAACCTTATTTGTCAGCCAGTCTGTCCATCTGTCACGAGAACTTTAAACTTGATAATAACTATTGAATGAGTTGATATAAGACTTTGATATTTCACATGTGCATTATTTATGACATCTGATTTTCAAATATACTGTGATTTTTGACCCTGTGACCTTGATCTTGGAGCTTGACCTACTTAAAAAAATAACATTACTTTAAATTGACCATAACTTTTGAAAGCTTCCATTTTATAAAAATGTATTAACTGTGACAATACCTTTCAAAACTCACTGATTTTTTACCCTTTGACCTTGAAGTTTGACCTGCTTTTCAAAAACATTAACAATACTCATACCTTTTGAATGAGAAGAGACAGGGCTTTTATTTTATCCCTGTGTATTACCTAAGACAACTCTTTTCTAAATACACTGACTTTTGACAACTTGACCTTGAGGCTTGATCATAACTTTTTAATGAGAAGAGATAAGGCTTTCATATTACACAAACATCACATGTACGTAACCTGTGATAAAATCATTTCAAATACTAGTTTATCATGAACTTTGACCTTGAAGTTTATCCGGCTTTTCCAAAATTCAAACATTGCTTAAAATTGACCATAACTTTTTACACATGTATATTAGCTGTGACAAGTCCTATCTAAACAAAAGGTATGGCTTAAATCATGCAGAGTGTGTTATGGCCTTGAATCAAGGTCATTTATGACGAGATATTTTGGCTGGATGCATTGTTTGAAAAAACATGTGTGAATTTGTCAATACGGTAGCACACAAATGGGATATGCTCATCACCAGCGTGTGTCATGGTGTGACCCAAGGTCATTCTGACAAGGTCAAGGTCGCAAACATTCCTTTACTATCCTTTTTTTAATAGTAAAACATAATAAGTCGATATGATATCTACCCTTAAAAGATTGCTTTAAAATTAGAATGTGGCATTTAATTTAATTTAATCAATATATTATGTAAGTAAGATTACATAATTGGATTGGACATCAGGCATGGCCTATATAATTTCTCTCCAAGGTCAAGGTTACAAATGTTAAGAATTGACAATGATTTACAATGACGAAAAAATTTCCTTATAAGTTACATTAATTTATAGTAAAACATAATAAGATGATATCTACCCTTAAAAGATTGCTTTAAAATTAGAACGTGGCATGACCTTGACTCAAGGTCATTTCTCTCTGTCCGCAGCTCCGACGGAAGACCTACTCGTTGCTTTGCAACGAGCTCGGTTCTAGTTTGTATTTATATTTATTTATAAACAGGGGACTGGACCTTTCTCCATACACAAAGGTAGGGGGAGACAAGTCTCCCCCGGTGTATGACCTGTACGCAGTGGTCAATCACTACGGGGGGATCCTGGGTGGACATTACACCTCATTTGTTAGGACACCTGACCCCATGGATCCAACCAAAAATGAACTGGGTCAGTATAAAAATTACATTTAATTCTCTTGCTGAGAAAATATTCTTTGATGTTTTTTTATAGATAATAGAGTTAATTGTGGATGACTTTTAATTTATAGATTGGAGATTGTGTGATGACAGTCGTGTAACGTACATTGGTGGAGAGAAAAATGTGGTGGTCAGAGGAGCTTATCTCCTCTTCTACAGGAAAAGACAGCCCCTGGAACCACCCAGGCTTATCTCCCCTAGCCCTGAATTGGAGGACCAGAATGGGAATGCAAATTTCGCCTCACTAGGAGCTAAGTCAGATGAAAATGAGGCTGAAAAAGAACCATGTTACATGAAGGACGAGAATCTGATTGACGATGAAGTGGTGACCTCCAATCTTGACAGTACAGAACCTGATGACTTTGGTGAAGGGTCAGGTGTCGATAACCTGCCTTATCTCCCCTTAATGATGGATCATCGGTACCAGAGGATGTACGGAGTGTCGGGAGAGGATGAGGTGGATAAGGATTCCGGATACAGCCAGAGCAGGGCCAGTCCCACGGATGACCTTGGATATACCGACATGGAGGCAGTGGACTGACCTTTTAAATAAAGGTCAATTCCTTTTCTATGTTTTTACCCTTTTGTTTTTTTTTAGATGTGTATTTGCTTGTTATGAAAATCACAAGATTGAGTGTTACAATAAATGTACATGTAATTTATATTATTGTGTAAATATTGAATGGAGATGGATTGTACTTTTTTTTTTATCTTTTAATCAGATTGTTTGTACAGGATGTGTGCCACTTTGAACTTAAATAGAAATAGTTTGCTTTTTTCTTTTTTTCTATTTTTTTAATCAGAGTGTGTTGTACAGGATGTGTGATACAGTACTTGAACTTAAGTGGAAAGAGTTTGCTTTCTTTCTGTCGAAGTTTGATGTGTTTTTAATCATAACTGTAGACTGTCCACCCACTTGGTTGAAAAAAAAAAATCTATATCTAAGCTTTAAACAAAAATGGGACTCAAGTTTTACATAGGGATATATAGGGAAACCTTTTAAAATACTTCAAACTGTGTAGTGCTTCATATAAGGAAAATTCTTTTTTTTAATCTAAGATTTTGTGAAACATTCAAAATATTTCAGTAGGTGTCACTATTTCCCATTTTTTAGGCATTAGCAAATAAAATGTTAAGATTTTACACTAAAGTGTTTAAAATAAGGCTCCAGTAAAAAATTACAGTTACAAGTTCGTACCTTTACAGAGATGGGAGTCTTGATATTCATTACGAAATATCTTCAGATACAAGACAGAAATGACATGTTACTGAAAATATTCTCTTTTTTGTTTTTGATGCAAAAATTAAAACATTTTAGAAGTGTCTGAAACTCTCATATTTTTTAATTATCAGCCTCAGCTCCTTTCATTTTCCTTGCATTTTGTCAAATTACTGTCATTGTTATTCCAGCTTTCTATCCTGGTTTATTGGTGTACTATACATCTGTTTGTCACAAAAAACAATGATAAAATGCATTTAAATGTTTGTAACAATTGGTCAGATTTTACAAATGCCTTTCATATTTAAATCCATGTAGATCATGGAGTCACAGCTGCTTTCTTTGCAGTGAGATGTTTGTGTAAGAGTTATCTCTCTTATCGCTTATTTAAATACTGTGATGATTTTGTTCTGTATATGTTGGGCATTATTTGTGTTTGTTTACAATGATGAATTTTTATGTGCTGTGTATATTAATGATGTATATCACATTCAATTAATTAAGAGAGCTTTTGTATTGGGAAATCTTGTATTCATTTTAAGTTTAGATACAATTTCGGTATTACCCTGTCCTGTGCTTTAGTCTTCTGTCTGTCTGTAAGACGTGTAACGACACTGGGCATGATCAAGGTCACATACGGAAAAAGTGTTTGTTACTGGAGAGACGCTGACAGTAGGTACTTCAAAGAAAAAATAATTATGACCTGAGGGCATCATGCCCTTGACCCAAAATTCATGAAAATATACCATTGCTGTTCTGGACATTTATTTTAAGGGAGAAACATACAGAAATGAAAATTGCCTTTGCCTTAAGGTGTCTTGTGACCTTGTCTCCGGGTACTTGGAAGATAAAGGTCGCTTTCAGAAAATGTGTAAGAATTTGTATAAACTGGTCATTCACTGTAACAGTGTAGCATGAATGCTGAGGGTAAATCATGACCAAGGTCATTTGGACAAGTTCAAGGTCACAGGAATGTTTTTAATAAGATAGTTAAATATTTGTTTATTTTGAAAAAAAACCTTAATATTTTTTCTCTAAATTAAATGTAACTGTGGGTCCCTTTGGATTTAAACCCCATTGTTTCCTACTAAGTAATTCAGATATTTTTTTAAATTGTGCTCTGTTGTAGTCTATGAAATACTTATAATTGTAATTAATGCATCAAAGATACATCATAAAATATGTGTAAATACTAGTAAATGAAGAAAAATTTCTGTATATTTGTTATTTAACAAGTTTATCTCAAAACTTGAAGTCCACATTGAATCAAAACAATTTCCAAAAAGATTTAGCTGCATTTTAAATTTAATGTTTGTTCAAGCTCGAGTCTATAAAAAACCATGATTCTGAAGTTAATGGGTTTTATATACATTTTTGTGATAATCTTGCATGAGTATTAAAATTTCTATGAACAAATGTTTCTTGTCCATTTTACAAATGCATATGTACCACCATACTAATTGTAAATTTGAGGGCTTTTTGACAAGGAATCCTTCATTTTGCCAGAATTTTGATTACAGTGATATGTGTTTTGTAGGATTTTGACTTGAATTGAGAACACGATTTTTAGAGAGACACCTTCATTTCTCGATAAGTAAAATATCTGTGACGAAAGTCTAATATGACCACTAGGGAAATTTATTTGTTGATATCTTATGTTTTTCGTATATTTTGAACACTTTATTTGCCCCCCCCCCCCCCCCCCCACCTGTAACTATTACAGTTACAGTGTTCTTGGAGAATTATTGTTTTTGTTGACTATTCTGAACAGTTCTGTATAAGTTTGTTATTTAAAAATAAATGTCTTTGTCTTTTTGTTGGGTTCTTGAATTATAGGGACATTCCCTGTAACAAACATTGACATGTCAAATAGTATGACCTTGTCCTTGAAACATTTCTCCAATACCTTTTAGTGAATTTGCCCATATATTTTGAAATGAATTATTCAAGAAAGGACAGATGATACAAAAAAAATTTGGATGCCTGGATTGGTATATATTTTTAGACCTATTCTGGTTGTAAATGATGTGGCTAAAAAAATTCTAAAATATTTGTAAACTTTATTATAGGATGTTCAAAATCCAACCTTTCTGCAACCATCCTTATTAATCTAAAGATTTTTTTTGTCTTTTAAAATCCTATCATTGTGAAAATTTGCATAAAAAATCAAAATCTGTATGGTTAAACTGAGTTATAAACATAACTGATGTTGTTATTTCCAGGAATTTTGACAAAAGTTTGCTGGTATATGTATCATCTATCCTTAATTGAGGATAAATAACACAGCATAATGAAACTAGATATTGTATATTAATTAGGGAAGTTATAAGGAAGTTCAAATTACTGATCAGGTCTGTCAGCACTTGTCCGATAATTACATGTGCGCAGTCAATATATTTTTTTGAATATCATTTTTCGTCGTCAAGCAATATTTCACTGATGCTACGTTGGAGGGCGTGGTTTCATCGTACAGAGAGTAATCGTATTTTGTAAGTAACAAATGTTTCTCGACGAATCAGATTCAGCTAACTTGCATAAAAGTATAATACACATGTATATTAAGAAAATAGTATAAGAAAAGACTTCCTGATTAGGATTAACTAACGGCGAGAGAAAAACTCAAGCAGAAGTAAAAAATACAAAATAAACTTATGGAAGTATAAAATTTTAATGCTTATAAATACAATGTCATGTATAACAGACACAAGAGAAGAACTAAAAATAATTGCAAAATCATTACGTTTCATTGCTGCCTCCGAGGTATGATATGTTACTGTCTGTCCTAAGTAGCTATTCCAGAAGTACTAAAATTAATGAGCGATTTATAAACAGAAAATGAAATGTTTTATGGCAAGACCTGGAATGCGAATCTATATATAAATGTTTGAGATCATCATCTTTTATCCTTAAAGCCACCTTAGCAAGCGTCTATTCATATACACACATATAAAAATATACAAACAACAACATAATGGCATTATATTGACGTCTTGATACAAGAAACTAGATAATGACGATTTCGGATAATAAGTAGTGAACTAGAACTGTCCAAACGGGACAAAATACCCCCCGCTGGGTTTTTTCAGAAGTAAGTTTTTCCATAATAAAGATATGTATCACACATGAATTATGAAATTTTTCTTCCAGTGACCTTGAACTTCCCCGAATGACCTTGGGTCAAGATCAGGACACATCCTTGGGTCATGGGCAATCTTTGTGTGAAATGAGAACCTACCAAGTTTATCCATAAGAAAGATGTGGACCGGACACAAATTATGAACTTTTTCTTCCAGTGACCTTGAACTTCCCCGAATGACCTTGGGTCAAGGTCACAACACACCCTTGGGTCATGGGCAATCTTTGTGTGAAATGAGAACCTACCAAGTTTATCCATAAGAAAGATATGGACCAGACACAAATTATGAACTTTTTCTTCCAGTGACCTTGAACTTCCCCGAATGACCTTGGGTCAAGGTCACAACACACCCTTGGGTCATGGGCAATCCTTGTGTGAAATGAGAACCTACCAAGTTTATCCAGAAGAAAGATATGGACCGGACACGAATTATGAACTTTTTCTTCCAGTGACCTTGAACTTCCCCAAATGACCTTGGGTCAAGATCATGACACATCCTTGGGTCATGGGCAATCTTTGTGTGAAATGAGAACCTACCAAGTTTATCCAGAAGAAAGATATGGACCGGACACGAATTATGAACTTTTTCTTCCAGTGACCTTGAACTTCCCCGAATGACCTTGGATCAAGGTCACGACACACCCTTGGGTCATGGGCAATCCTTGTGTGAAATGAGAACCTTCCAAGTTTATCCAGAAGAAAGATATGGACCGGACACGAATTATGAACTTTTTCTTCCAGTGACCTTGAACTTCCCCGAATGACCTTGGGTCAAGGTCATGACACACCCTTGGGTCATGGGCAATCTTTGTGTGAAATGAGAACCTACTAAGTTTATCCATAAGAAAGATATGGACCGGACACGAATTATGAACTTTTTCTTCCAGTGACCTTGAACTTCCCCAAATGACCTTGGGTCAAGGTCATGACACACCCTTAGGTCATGGGCAATCTTTATGTGGAGTAGTAGATTCTAATGTCCCTCCATAAGAAAGATATGGACCGGACACGTTTGCACAGACAGACGGACAGACAGACGGTTAGACAGACGGACAAGGTGATTCCTATATACCCCCCCAAACTTCGTTATAACTAGCCGGCAGTGAGGGAATTCTGACAGTATCTCTCTAGTATCTGTCGTACCTAGATCGGCTGGATGATCTTTGTTTGGAATACGCACTTCCTACAGATGTTGCCCTAGATCTGTGACCATCACTATAGTCATAAGATGTCCTCTGGTTTCTTCTTTCTCTGTCCTTGAAAGAGTCAAGTCTCTCACGATGATCGTATCGATTATCTCTCCGATACTCATCTCGATAGTCGTATCTGTTATCACTCCGATAACCGTCTCGTTTGTCTCGTCTATAAGTACTCCTATTGTCATATCGATTGTCACTTTTGTAACCATCGCGATATCGGTCACTTCTGATGAATGAATCATCACTTCGATAATCATCATAATAATTGCCTCGGCTTCGACTCCTACTGTTTGACCTTCGAACTGATCCTTCCTGATTTCCTCGGCGATCAGCACTTCTACTTCGACGATTTCTTTCGCGATAGAAATCGTCGCTATCTGACTCTCTGTCGCTGTAGTAATCATCGCGTCTCCGGGATCGGCTGTCAGATCTGCGATGGGATCGATCGATACTATTACGACGATGCGATCTCTCTCCCGTTTTGCTTCGTTGTCTTTGCTCTTTGTAAAAATCATCACTTTCTGAGTCTCGGTATCTGTCTCTTTCATATCGAGATTCGGACTTACTCCGAGAACGACGCACGTCATTCCTTTCGCGATTTTCATGTAAATGACGATTGCTGTTTGAGGAGTTATGGCTTGAGGAACTGGTTTCTTTATATTTTGGTTTTCGAACACTCCCTGATCGACAGAGGTCTCCATCGTATCCCTTATTTGTGTATTCTCGAAAATAGTCCTTACCCTCCGTTGTTGACTTCTTTGGTTTCTCAGTTGCTTTTTCTGGTTTTCTATCGACTGTTTTCGGAGAATCGTTTTGTTTCCCATTCGTTGTCCTTATGAACTCCTTCGGGGTTGTATTTTTCTCCATCTTGTTTTTTGAAGAGTCACCCTGTAGCGGACGGTTTATTCTTCCCAATTCGGAATCAGATCGAAGATCAAACTTCACGCTTGATCGAGCATCGTCAGAAAGACCTTTATCCGGTACTGACTTGTCTCGTCGAACACTTCCGGTCCGCCCACTCCTCTGAAGGTTTTGCATTCTGATAGAACTCTTTCCATCAACACTGCCATCCGATATAATGGCATATGAAACTTTACTTCCAACAAATTCAGTGGAGACGTTACTAGTGTCACTAAAAGCTTTGTTTTCAAACGCATGTGATGTTTTGGTTCGCTGACTAGTCCTCGTGCTTCCTTGACGACCATGTTGTGACCCGGAAGTGCTAAGATGCGGGGCACTTGGAGCGGTAGCTTGTCTTGATGAAGCTGTAAACAAAATTGTTCATTTAATAACAGGTTTTCATTTCATTACAAAGAAGCTTACAAAAGCGAAGAACGGACCCCTGTATTATACTATACTATGCAAACTTTTAAGTTGCTTAATAGCTTCCGATAAGCCCGGATTTAGAGTTATTTCCCTTTGCCCGCTATTTTTAAATCAACATGCTAAGATTCCTTCTTTATTCACCCAATTTTAATTTGATATTTTGGCAATTGTGGTGTAGGAAGATCGATTTACTGAAGAATATACATTTGTTAAAGTTTCCTTTATTTTAGAATTTTCATTTTATAAAGTTTTTCTATTACACTCACTTAGAGAGTATATATTCAATTCATCAGGTTGATCTCAAATTAACGATGGCAACAAGAGAAATAACTCGGAGAGTAAGGCAATAACGTATGTATGACATGTGAACAAGTAAAAAGAGAAAACAAAGACAAACCGTTAGGTTTATTGAAGAAAAAATTTTATTTTCAAATTAGGTTTTCCATTTGATAATCATAGATTTCTATTAGAGAACACCTTTGATTACTTTTCATTATATTATTAGTAATATTATTTGAAATTCTAAGTTTTCCTGCGATAATTCAATTGACATTTAATAGGAATGCTTAAAATTTGGTCATTTACAAGATATGGAACAGAATATTAAACAAGGTATCTGCAAGAACAGTTTTAAATTTATGGCAAAGAATACTTATATTTCACTAGTTATAGTAGTATTTTAATCAAAATAAAATGAAATAAACATGAGCATGCACATATATCATCTAATTCTGGATTGATATTTTCAGTAAAATTTGCAATAATTACACACATACTACAGTATTTATCATTTCTTATATCCCAGAATCTACCTTAGCATTTAAATGGTTCATAAAAGTTAAATGTAGCATATCAAAATACAAGTAGGCCAACTTACATCAAATAAATCAAATTAAAAAATAGTCTTACTAAATAAGAAATATGACTTAATATTCTATAATTAGCAGTCATGTCTATTAAAAAAAATAATGGAAAAAATACTCGCTCAAAAGGCATGAACCAGTCATGTCTATTTTCTTTTACAAACTTTCAAACGGTTAAATAAAATTTACAGTAAAACATGCTCCATGATGAAGTAGGATTTATGAGTTTTTTACCATAGTTACAGGGGAAATTGCCTACAATTTTTTGTAGCTTGTTTTCTACCAGGCTTGTGCTGGTGTTTTTCAAGCTAAAAAAGAATGAAACCCGACCTTTTTTCAGCCATCAAATTTAAACCTTTTCGTGATTAATTTTAAGCTATACAGTAACAAAATATACAATATTCATAAAATATGTAGCACTCTTTGATAAAACTATAATAATATAAAACATACACTGTGGAGAGAAAAAATGTCGCTGTCACTTCCCTTACGTAATGATATCACGTGCTATACACAGAATATATATAACTATATATACAAAAAGTTATTCAAGCCATATATGAATTGCGTTTTACGCGTAAATATCAATATGATATGCCATATAAAATGAGTTACATAACGGTTTGATGTCTACATCTTTGGCTATATGTGGATACAATTTTACCGACAGTCTCTCCAATGAAATAATACAGATAAGGGATACTCCTGCACACTTGTATACCGATCACGTGCATTTCTTTCATAAAACACTAAAATTAATTGCGTAAATATAACTCATCTATTTAAAAAAACCCTAGTAAATGTAGTTTCATTTCTTCATTTTCTGCATTTTCTTCACTTCATCAAAGATAGGTAAGTTAGGAGATTTCTTTTTCTCGCGCGATCGGGATCTATGTGACCCGTGTTGACCGTGATGATGGTGTCCATGATGTGACGAATGACCATGTGATCCATGTGACCCATGCGACCCCTGAGATGACTGGTCAGCTTGATCATAATGCGGACGATGCTTCCGGGGAACAGAGCGTGTTGAAGATGATCTGCTCTGGCTCCGACTTCTGCTCCTACGTATACTAGCAGCATTAGGATTCCTTTTGAATTGACTTTCATATGTCATTCCCGTGTCTGAACTGTTTTCAGTCCTAGAGGGTGAGTAACTTCTGTCTGTGCTACGTGTATAGTTCGTTGCTGTATCGTCGTCCTCGGAAGGTCGGCGGCGTCCGGCGGCTTTTCCTAGAGATTGTGATCTACCTCTCTCGTCGGTGAAGGCTTTGTTAGTATATCCAAAGTCATCATTACTCGAGTCACTAGTATGACTACTCGGTCTCTCCTGCCGTCTCCTTTCTGATCTCTCCCGCCTCGCTCTTGGAGGATCGGGGTCCATACTAAGATGCTTCACTCTCTGCAAGTCAGGATATCCTTTCTTAATACTTTGTTTATATGTTTCAAAATCAAAATCACAGCTGTCATCCGTGCTGCTCACAGACGCAGTATAACCTTCATTGTCATGGCCTGCTTCCCCTCCACCTTCCTTATTTCTTCTTCGACTTCTCCTCTGCGATCCCTTAAGGATTCCGTTCGGAGCCTTTTCCGGAAGTTTAAATTGGTAATCGTTGTCTTCCGGTGGGTCGTAGGGCCGGTGTCTTCTCGAGTAGGAGCCCTCGAGGTTTGGAATAGACTGCCGGTTCCTTTGTCTGTCTCCTTCGTGCTCTATGATAACCGTTGGATCTGATCCCACTGAAACAAAAGTAGATGATTACACTGCAATAACTACCACAAAAAAATGGTCGTCCAATCATTAACAATTAAAAAAAAAGTCTTAATATCATTACATTTACACGTAAGAGAACAAATGTAGGAAAATCACAAATAGAACCTATCTGTCCATCAATGTTATTTCCCTTACCATTGCTTTGATATAGTAAACTTGAACTGTAACAGTACTAGTATTAATGCAATAACCTTTCTTAAAGGTTCAATGAAATTTGGTGGTTTTTGTTGTGTCAGAAAACAAAATCGGTGGTCATAGACATACATGTTTCAACTTGTCTTCTCCAAAGGAATTCTCACTTTCGCTTGGTAAATCTTAATGGCGTTAATTCATATATGGTTAAAATAATCACCTAGTGCTGTTGTAAATTCATGGTACATTCAAATGGCCAGCGTTGCCATGGAAACGAGGAAGGTCAGGGCGGAGTGACTTTCACTATTGTTTGCAGTGGTAAAGCTCACAAAATTAATGGTAATCAGTGCCATAGAAACGAGGAATGCATGGTTACTTCGGAGTGATATGCGCTATTGCTTGCAAAACCATTTTTTTTTCTTTGACCGAAATCGAAGAAAATTTAAATAAATTCCCTCTTAAAGGTAGAAATAAAATATTGCACAATAAATTGTCCAATGGTAACTACTCATGGCTGTATTCTTCCACAATGTTGTCTCTGATTTGTGGTCATTACTTGAGACCTATCCTATATTTTTAAGGCGCTTTGCAAGCAAGAAAAATCATGCATTTTTCAAATATTTTAACATCTTATAGTTTCATTTCTCATGCAGCAAATCGTATTAAAAAATACACTGGAATTAACATCCGGTACATTTCATTTCAATAAATAGTTCATCGATAAACAAGGGTTTTTGATTCGCTTCTTTTCAGACCCTGTGTAAGAGGTGGGTAGCGCATCAGACTTCCTTGCCAAGTTGGTTAGCAAGAGACTTTTATCTGTTGCTGACAAATAGAGATGACGTACATGTATAGGTAAAAGTTACTGTAGCCTTTCGGTCGAGGAAAACAGGTTACATCGATCAAACTCAGTAGAGTGTACTAGTACCCCAATTTTTTCTTCTAATACTTTTTCTGGTGTATTAAGCTACACCATTTATGCTACATCTACCTCAAATGTACGTCGGGTCAAGTACAAGAAAATCGCCGCGTACTACGTATAAATCCCAAACCAGGGATAAACTGGTTACATCTCAAGATTGAGCTTGAGCAGGGTCCACTATATGTAAGCGTAACTTAATAAAAAAAAAATCGGCTGGAGGTGAAATAGAACATATCATTACATACATGTTGAATAAAACATACAAATGTGTTGGTGCATGCTTAAAGCTATAGAAATATTCTGAACGATTGAATAATAAATTAGAATAGAACTATTTTTACTACTTAAACATAATTTTAAACATAAATCTGAGATTTACCATATACACATATATTCACATTCTCTGTTTTAAAATGATTGTAATAATACAAAAAAGTTAAGGCCAGTGCTGGTCTAAATATTTGTAATGTCTATGCTAATCCTCACCGAAGAATTTATAGTATCCCTAAATTCTTTTAAAGGTACTAATATCCCATTTTGAACTAATGTATAAGTAATCTAACCTTTGGATGACCAGAAGAAGACAAATGCGTTTAAGTAAACAGAAGGACTTGTTGAAATTGACATGAGGATGTTTACTTTTTCATAAAAGCTGATTTGAAAATATCGAGATTTCGTATCATTTTTAAAGACAAGTTTAAGTATGTTTTCATGAATAATAATTTTAAGCAAATTTAACGTAAATTTACTCCGAATATCATCTACATGCCGTCCCCAGAATATTAATTAGACCACCACTGACCATGTGACAATTCCAAGATCTATATTTAGTACCTGTGGTAAAGACGCTGGGCTGTAGTTGACGCATTTTCTCCTCCTTCTGCTGTGCCATCTGCCGACAGACAAAAAAGCAGACGACAGCAATGATGATGATGAGGAACGCAACCACGCCCACCGCGATGCCAATAATGGCACCCGTCCCGACTCCGCCCCCAGCCGTGTCGGCAACGTTGTTCGACACCACACCTGTCAATCAAATATGTCGAAACAGTTAGTTAACAGTGCAACCAAGTCTGTATATCACGTCGTCGGAATCATGACCTCACATCATTCAAATATAGAAAAAAAACTGTATTCTGATCAGTAGAAACCAGTTTCCTAAACGAAATTAGCAAGGTCACAACAAATAGCTGTCTGGGTATAAATGCCCTTTCTACATTAATTTGGAATATATGTTTTACATCGAATACAGTCTTCTTATTGAACTTATACATTGTATATATGAAATATTAAAACTGCTTTCATTTCAATAACACGTCAAATTGGGTCAATGACGTGTTTGTTGACATTTTACCCCAAAAAATTTGAACAACTTGATTTCTAAACATGAATGTTAATTTGCCATTTTATAATTTATTAATTTAAAGAAAAATTATACTCTGAAACAAAAAGGTCCAAATACTTTTGCAAGGACATTTATTTCATATTGACGGTTTTCAATAGTACATGTATGTTGTAAGCATTCGTCACAAGCTTATCACAAACCACGAGAAAATTGATCAGATACGACACTGCATAATTAAGCAAATATAGATATAGTACAACGTAAAATAAAGCATAGATATCACTTACGCTGTTATTTCTCCATAATATACAAATGAATTATGTCATATTGGCAAAATAAGAAAAAGTAGAAACAACACCCGAACAGCAATGCATTAGTCCATTCAGAGTTCTTGTTTATGTCAATAATTGGGGCATATCAACCACTCTGGGATACACAGGTATGTCACAGGTATTAGGGACAGGATTGTGGGGGACACAGGTAGATTAGGGACAGGCAACTCTGGCTGGAGTTTACACAGGTCGATAACAGCTTCAGAGGGCATTACTCTCTGTGTATTATTGACATGGAGTGATTTATCTCTCCATGTGCGATTTGGATATTTTCCTATTTTTATCTGTCTATACATGTAGCTTCTGAAGAAAACAAAACCAACCTTAATTGTGTAAAAATTTATTTTCAGAGTATGCTTATACAGAAGTACATACAAGCACTGTGCTACTGGTAATATACACAGTATATCGATACTTAGGATGTTTTATGCATGTAAGACATTGGTCATTTACCAATTGTTTACAAGTCACCCTTATTATGATTATGCACGTTTACCTTTTGTAGTAGTTAGGACGAGGTTGAAGCTATATGCTTTAGTACTTCCGGACCCTTTATCCAGACGGACGATAAGATTTCCGGTACGGGTCCGGAAGGACTCTCCTGCGCCTGTGCTTGGGATACAAGACAGCGTTTGCTGCAAAGAAGAATTTTTAGAAAGTTGACAAAGGAAATATTTGCTTAAATCAGAGTCAAGCGATATTGCTGGACTAAATTAAGATGGACTCAAAGAAAAATGATATTTAAAAGATTGCAATAATATACTTAAAAGGACAGCTACAAATGTGTTAGAAAATTTAATCAAAAAGAGAATATTCTTTCAGTGGACACTGTGACTGAGGTTCTCATAAAAGTTGAAGAGATTTTACAACAAAAAATATTTACAGCTTTAATGCAGGACGCTTCTTGCCACAGAGCATGCAATGAACTTTGAGAAAGCTATATAACTGCATATCTACATGTATGTCGTACCGATGGGAATTTCATTGTGTTGTCATTGTCGTAGAAGTACAGCCGGACAGTGCAGTCTGTGACGTCAATATGCTGGACACTAACAAGGAACTGGGAGGCCGAGTTAAACCTGACCACACACGATGCAGCACCCCCTGAGGTGATGGGGTTAGGATTGGCCTTCAGGGTGAAGACGTCCAAGTCAGACACCGTGATACTCCGACCACAATCCGCCGAGTTTTCAAAATCCACTGAAAATTAATAAACAGGTACTTAAAACCTACATATACTAATGCAGGGGGGAGTGAATGGGGAAATAAGGTCATCGAGCATTAATTAAGATATAATTTGTTCTCAAAAGCACCATGAGCACTGAGGCACAAATGGTAAGGATGGAAGTATACCGTTAAATTAAGCTGGAAATGAAAGTTATTCTACAGGTAAATTATGAAAAGGCGAGTTTATGAGTGTTTCTTTTTGGTGATGAAGTGTTGCCTGGGGTTTTAACAGAAGGTAACTACAGAGTACATAATTATATAACGACAAATGTACCTTGTAACTAATCTATTTATCAATAAAACAGTATGACTTTATATGTATAAAATATAATGAAATAGTCTCTTGATTACAACAATACAGCCCATTTTCATCTAAAAATGCAAAGCAACTTCAAAGAGCAGTTGTTTTGTTGACTGATTAATTCCCGTTTAAATATAAATAGACATTTATGGACTTCTTACAGTTAATTAAACAAACAAAAACGATGTAAAATCAGCAATATGCATTCACGTTTATTCGGTCTCTATCTAACCTACAGTCTTTTCCTTGATTTTTTTTTTCTTGATGAAGGATACATTTTTTAAAAAAAAAAAAAGATTCACAAACAATCTTAAAATTTACGGGAGGCCAATTGTGACGTTTTACAAGTTGATGGGACTTCAAAGTGTGGCCTTGTGCATTTATTATTACATGGAAAAAAAGGGTTCTTCACGCCAAACTCTGACAGGCGTTGGAGAAACCTTTTGGTCCACCAGCAAATGAATTTGCAAATGCAATAATTTTGCATAATTAGATGAGCTGGTGATTTACTTTTTGACAAACATAGACGTCTGTTTGGGAGCTTTGCTTAGTATTCAATTTTTTAGTTGATTGTATTAGTGTACTTGGCAAAAGGCTAGCTATATTTTTATACAGACTACAATACAGGTATATTACTCTTTATTGACGTAATATTATGTTTTCGACATTTTGTCTTCTGTGTTGTTTTGATGCATACGAAAATGACAGAAATTTGTTGCACTTTTTACGACAAAGAAACACATTCAAACACGTTCACTATATACTTGTAAATAGTATTTATTTAATTAACACATGTTATGTGTACATAAAACAACAGTAATAATCATTGGTCTTGTTTGACATAAAAAAATGTACATGTATTACCAAGCAGACAAGCACGAAACTGTGCGTAAATTCCCCCTGGGGACTTTACATTACACATAGTTATAACGTACCATTGCAAGGTGTACTTAAGTAACAAAAAATATTATGGTGCTTACCTGTAAATTCAAATGCTTCGATCATGACCCACATGACATTGACCAGCAGATACACAATCAGCTTCGTCTTAACTTTCATCATGTCTTATAACTTCTTAGAACTTCGTTGTATGTTCATGGCACAAATAGTCAACAATTTAAAAAGAAACGCCAATTGCATATGCTGACCTAATTCCAATATCAGGTCAAACAGCTCGAGAGTGCTTGTGCAAAACCGTCCATATCATGATATTGTCGATGATACTATAAACCTATCAATATCAAGGTATTGTTGATTTCAAACAATACTCCATAATTATCCGAAAATCGGATAATCCGAAAAAGCTTAGTGAAGATATGTTTAGAATCACATCACTGAGCCTGGTTAGGTAACGATCAACAGTAAAATTAGATAATCCGTCAGGTATGAAATTAATCCAGGTATAGGTAGGAAAAGTAGTCAAGCTGTATCGTTTTGGATAAAACTGATAAATGAAACATGGTGCTTTATTTATAAAAACTCATGCACAGAACACTTCCGTAATTCTGGTTATGGATATCGCCATGTTGGAAATCTCTACACCTGGTGGTCACAGGTAATAAACATGAAGTGTCGCCATCTAGCGAGAAGTATTTCTTAACATTAAGTCAGTATAGTGTATTACTCTAAAAGGTAGATAACACGGCTATTTCCTATTTTGATAAATAGCGAGGGACATCAATCATTAAAATAAGTTTGCATCGTAAAAAAGTCTCGAGATTTAATGAATTGAAACAAATAAGCTTTGATTTTTAATACAACCTTGGCCCCAATATCAGACGCGTACTGAACCGCTCAATGAAGTTTCCTACTTCATTTTTAATTTTGATTCATTAATTCCTTTAATCCCTTTGGAGATTTTACATAAATTTACTTCTCTGGACATGAATTTGTGTAGTCTGTGTCATTTAAGTTAACTGGAATGTAAAGTATTCGAAACTTCGAATTTCAAAAATTGGGTCGCATCTTCAAATAATTTCAGGTGGCTGTGCACGACCTGACGCAGTGATTGACACGATTTGTTAGGTAATTTTAAAAAAAGAAATTCCCGTATGAGTAACCCCGGGTCGATGAACTCATGCATTTTTACCTGTGTTCAATCAGCTGATACAGGTGTGTCACTGTTTACCTTACTGGGATGTTTTCTTTATTTTGATTTAATTCAGCTCATTTTGAGTCCTTATTGACGAAATATAAATTTATTTATAATAGAATCATATAAATCAGGTATTTATTAGGACTAAATACTGTACGTCTCCAAACATAAAAGCTAAGTGGTACACGTGTGTTCATTCCTTGATAATTCATTTTTTGGCCATACCTGAAGCTGGGGTGTACATTTAGAACAAACATAATAACCCATCATAAGAAATACAACAATGTAGTGATTTTATGCATTTTTTTTTCAATTTCTACACACTTTGTGCATTATTTATAATAAGATCTGAACATCTTTTTTGTCTACATCATTGTGTAAATATGACTTTGCTTATTCATCATATGACAGGTCGATACAGCACTTTCAGACATGTACATGTACTTATCAAACAACAACCATAATTTCTGTCCATAGATATAAAACATCATCTCAGGATTATACTAACCTCTTCAAGCTCATTGAACCTTTATCCCCGGGACTTCGATGCAAAAGATAGATAAATATTCTCACCTTTTTAAAAAAATAAGTCCACGTGTAAATGACACTTCCCTCTTCGATCTGGTATGGTAGACAGGATGTATTTAAAAAATTCCATTTTGTTTACACCCATCAGCGCACATAACAATATTCACCGAATTCGTGCACCCTGATTGTAAAAAAAACCCTCCCATTTCCCTTCATTTCCAGGCAGCAAAAGAAAAACAAAATTTAATGATTTTTTAAGAATTGCGTGCATTCGAAATATCTCGCATTTTTCCTTTTTTTTCAGGCAGAATATTAATTACGTACATTATCTCAAATAATTACTACAAACGGGAAATTGCATTTATTATATTGCAACCTATACATACAACTACACCTTTCAAAAGGAGAAAGTTTTCATTAAGTTATAACTTTCTCACCTGGGTAGAAATTGAAGCTTAATTATTATTATAATTCCATGATATTCGTTCTATGATATTGAATGTAATTAAATAAAACTGATTTAGTTTTAATTCAGGCACGTAGCATCGTTTTTGAAAGTGGGGGGGGGGGCAACCAGAGAATTTTTTTTTTACCTACCTGGAAAAGTTGAGAAGCAAAAAAAAAAAAAAAGATAAAGAAAATTTAAAGTTGCCCAAACTCGAAAATCCTATTTCGTGGGGGGGGGGGGGGGGGGGGGGGGGGGAAGTGACCAACTTCTTCAAAGCCAAGTTACTTTCATTCAACAATTTTTTTTCCCCTATATCTCCTTGATATCACTATACATGTACTATGGTAAAAAGTGGGGGGGGGGCCAAACTTCCTTTAAATGTACAATTACTATAGTGAAGGTATGTTGGGGAAAAAAGTGGGGGGGCCAGCCCCCCCCCCCCTGTTGCTACGTCCCTGTAATTTAAAATTTAATTTTTAAAACTGTAAGATGTATATTTTTCAATCATCATGCATTTCAAAAACGTGAACAATATACAACGTGAACGATATACAATAGGACGTTATAATGTTATAGTCGTCTCCAAATGAATGAAAAACTAGAGAGGGACGTTAAACAACATGGAAACATAACAATGGACCGTAAGGATTAGCGAAAATGGTTTTCAGAGTGGATCTTCTTACTTTTGTATAAGTAACAAGATCAATATAATCCCCCAGTTTGATAGTATTATGTTAAAGATGGAGACATCATGGAAAGGGGGGTAGCGGGGTATTGGGGAGGGGGGTGTAGACCGACTATTGCACTGCTGTTCTTGGGTAGTTTCTTTTTTTCTTTTGCGTGTACATGTATATAGCACGCTCTTTTCGTACCGTTGTTTCTTGTAAAAGTTTTATGACAGTCTGCACATTTATGTATAACACAGCCCCTAAGGGCGAATTCCCAGACTAAGACAGCTTATACAACATGTATATGAACATGAAATTAATAATTAATATACATACCATTCTGTGAGAGTGTCGCCTGAATGAGACAGAAAGTTAGAAGACTCCAGAACATCCATTTATCGTCCATACTCGCCATATTTCCCCCACTGCCGTATATAATCCTCTATCTCTCCATAACAATGAAATCTAGATCACTTTCGCTTTAATTAATCCGGTATCGTTAATAAGTATCCATTCAATAATTAGGTATCGCTAAGAATCACCTGTCATAATGAGTTAATCAGTCAAATTATAATTACACTAATTATAAAAGTACCTCATGAATACCATTCATATATCACTTTGAACTCAGAAAATTTTGTAAACAAATGGTTAAATAAACAGACTAAATATAGAAAATCCATTGGTCGCGCGTGGTCTTCACATTCCGGAAAATCAATCGATCGTTTAATCTGCTTACACCTGAATGAATCAGCAAGCCTGACACACCCCGTCACAATATCAGCTGTTAATGTCGATTTCCGACCAGAAATGAAGTCCCCCTACTTTTGTTTTGATGGTTCTAATATTCAAATAGCACTTAATCAAAGATTTGTTGATATTGGACAACAAAACTTCCCAATTCATTTATCGATCTGCCGTTTCCCATGTGTTTGTCCAGTATGGTGGATTACAGCTATTGTGATGTCATGTTAATTCGCGTCTAGTCCTTACCTGAGACGAACATAAAATGACCTTCGCTGAATGTCAAACGATTCGAAGTTTCACCTCAGGGTTCATATAACACATTTGAATATTGCTAAATTTTCTACAGCTCAGCAAAGTTTAACCTGAATTCTTTTCCGAGGAAGTATACACAGTAGCATATTTTATTCCGTTAATACCTGAATACATCGTCCAACGCAGCTACATGTAAGCAGTTTGTAAAAAAAAAAATTGAAAGCATTAATATTAATAATCATGTAATTTCTCAATGACAAATGAAATAATTTATGCAATGCATTAAAAAACTTCAACTGAAATCAAAAGCTAGTCTTGTAAGGTACAGTATTTTTATTCCCTAAGAAGAATTTATACTGTACATGACATGTACATGTCATTTTGGGACTCGTTGAATATGAAAATTTATTCTCTCCCTTTCTTTGCGAAATAAGTGAAAAATCTTTTAGAAGTATAAAAAGTATATATTTACCGAATAAAGACTTCATCTCATGAATTTAAAACAGTAGCAACAACGAAACAATAAACTCCAAAAAAAATTGAATGCTTAATCACTTTTTTTTCTTAAATTATTTTATCGAAAATATATAAAACCGATGGATATATATCTTGAAGGTTTTCCTTTGTCCGATTGAAGTCGATATCAAGTGGTTTGATTATACATGCCCGTAGTTTCACTATTTAGTTCGCTGTATTTATATCTACCACAAGAGAAGGAACTTGAAAGAACGTGTTTTTAGTCCTTATAAATAAGGCTAACTACACTTACGAAAGTAATGTAATAAAATGAATTTGGAACTTGAAGAAAGCCACCGTATACAGATTTACTATTATTCACAAAACTATTCCAAGGACAGAGGATAGTCAGTGACCCCTTCTTCAGACTGTAAAACAATGACAAAGCCGGAGAAACTAACGACTCAAGGAAAAACAAATCGAATCATGTGGTTTCTCTGTGTTTGAAACCGCTAAAGGTTTCAAAAAATCTCTTCGTATTCTTTCAGTGGTATTTACGCCTTTTTAGCAAATGTCATTTAATATAGTTTAATTTTCTTTGCTAAGGAAACATTATTAAGAATTTAACGGTAATTTATCGTATTATTATTAAGAATTTAACGGTAATTTATCATACAGTTAATCAACTTTAATAAGGTTTCAATTTTTAATCTGATAATAAAATCAGAAATCTCTAACTAAAAAAAAAAAATCGAAAATTTATTTATAAAATTGTCTTTGTGAAACATGACATGTATTTGTTAACTTTATAGTCACAAATACTTCAAGTTGTAATTCGATATTCAACCTTATCACATGCGGACAAACAGACAGACAGAGAGACAGACAGACAGACAGAGAGACAGGCAGACAGACAGAGAGACAGGCAGACGGACACGTTTATCCATGAGGTCTTTTAACAAATTTGAACTACTAAATCATTTTAGGAGATATATATTTGTTAGAAAATGTATATACATGTATTGATAAAATAAATAAAAAGAATCTTTAAACTAACAATTTCTCATCTAGTTAGAAACAAGCTAGGATGGAAACACATCCATCAATTGTTTCAATATTTGCATAGAGTAATATGTATTTACATATTGCATTACATGTAGCTGCAATTTCATATACCTTAATTTCCTTTTTGGGGGGAAGGGGAGTGGGTTAGTATGGGGAATAAATCCCTATATAGAATTTCCCAAATGGTGTAACTTTTGCGAAAGCGATTCTTTTCTACACATCATTTTGCTCAAATTATCACATCTTGCTATTTTCCTCATATGTACAATGTACATTAATTGTATACACCTTGATGGAAAGATGGTTGGTTCCATCCTCAGGTGGATTCTCCTTCATTGTCTGTTTCAACGCTGTCCACTACAGCCTCCAGAGGTGTGCCGACTGGGGTGATCAGGTCCCAGCCTGGAACCACTTGGCTCTACAACACTGCTGTTCTATTTTACTGTCTTTCTCACTACTGTTTATTGACATCACAGATCTTTTATTTTACTGTCAATCTTACTACTGTTTATTGTCTTTCCATTCTCTGCTCTTCTTCTCCACAACCACATGGACGCCGATTCCGCCTGCCTGCAGAGACTCACTATCAATCTCCTTCTATCTGCTCCCGTTTTGCCAATGACTCTCGGTGCCCTCCACTTAGATTGCCCCACGAATCTTTTATAACCTACTTCCACTACAAAAACAGACCTTCCATCCATTCTGTTGACAATCCTTCAGAAGGTCTTGGTACTTTAGATTTTTCCTTTAGTATGCTCCATCCATGCTAACTTACCATGGCACTGTTAATTCCAAAATAATGTCTGTCTTGTAGCCATGGACCGATATCCGGCCTCTCGTTTGTGGCTATTATTACAGAAGGAAATACAGTCTTTCCTCAGCAGACCACTTCCTTCAACACTAACTTTACGTCCTTTTTCACCTCTTTACACCACAAAGTTTACAAATCTCAGGCCCTCTAGATCTGTGTTCTTCTTTGGCTTTTGATACTTTTCTCCAAGGTGTCAGCTATACTGGCTAGGATTCTATCATGTCTCCAAGTGTATCTCCCATCTTTCAAAGCCTTAGAGCAAGATGATAATATGTGCTCCAAGTTTGCTGGTTTACCACAGAGGACACACTTTGGATCATCTGTCACTCCCCATGTTAACAGATTAGTTGAGCTGTGAAGAACATCATTTCAGCTTTAACTTAAGTCTGAATGGTTCCATCTTTCAAATATCATTCCATCTCAACTTCACTTGACGTGCATTTTCCCAGTTCACCCAGCTACCTTGTTTCTTCCTTCCAACTGCTTTCACCATTCTTGAATCTTCCTCCATTGCACGCACTTCTCTCTGAACCAAACCGCGCTTCTCTTCTACTGAAGCATCTTGCTGTTGGTGTGACATTTAGCCCTTGCCTTTCCATTGCTAGTCTTCCCAAAATGTCACTGTCTCAAACGGAATTCTCTGTCTTCTATAGTTTTCTTTACTGACCACTTTCTTTTCGTCCTGATATCTACTTTTGTTTGCTGTCCGGACCTTCTTGTCTTTGCAATTCTTTAACATTAAGTGTTGACGCACCTTCTTCACCTTGAATTCCTAAGTAATTGACTTTAGAGGTAAATTTCCGGAGCTCCGGAGCTATATAAACTGATGCTGCTGAAACTTGACGGTATCCTCAGCCATCTCCTCAGGTATCTGCTTGTCATTGTTTCCATCCCTTCTACTGTGCTCACTGGTACCTCGTACTCCAATAGCGGCCATAGCAAGGGAGGCAGCATCCCATGTTGTTAATCTATGCTTTATACCGGTATTAACCGGGCAGTCCACTTTTATCCACAGTTTTCATCCATATATCCAGCTGTCTGCAGGTTTCTTTCAAATTTTGTCTGTCTGTTAATGTGTCATTAAAGAATTTCCCTAAATATTTTACTGGCTTCTCTGAGACTGTTGGTATTGCATTTCCTTCAATCTTGAATCTTTCTTCTTTTACTTTTCCATTCTTTAAAACCATACTACGAGGTTTGCTTGGTTTTGATTTCATTCTTGCCCAAGTGATAGCTGATTCTAGTTCTTGTATTGTTCACTTGGCTTCAATAACTGTTTTGTTTGTAACTGTCATGTCTTCCATGAATGCTCTCCCAGGAGGTTGGCGTACTCCTGACTTTATCACTGGCCCTCTGCTCTTCTTCTTCACTGACTTGACTGTCATGTTCATTACGGACATGGTGCATCCTGTGACTTTACCGACTTCTAAGCGTTGCCATGGTGTTATGTAATCCTGTACTGTAAATATTAGCTGAAGATAGTCAAAATAGTCTTTTAAAACTCCCCTTGTCTTCTCTGGTACATGGTATCTTTCGAGTGTCAGCTCAACAAGTTTATGGGGAACTGTCCCATATGCATTAATTTGCTAGATCTTGGAAGATGACTGCCAACTCCCCTTTAGACTCCTTGGTTTTCCGGATTATCTGTGCAGTACACTTGTATGCTAAGTATATCCTGATACTCCGGGTACTCCTTCCATCTGCACAGCGATATCAATTAACTGATTTTCAAGCATGTATCTAGACATTCTCCTCGCTAAAATTGCAAGGTATATCTTCCCTTCTATATACATTCTGGAGCTATATTGTCCTAAATTGTTTCAGTACTTCTGATTTCTCTTCTTTGGGAATAAAATAGCCTTCTGTTCTGTACCCAGCTATCTGCTTGATGGAAAGATGCTTGGTTCCATCCTCAGGTGGATCTTCCTCCATCGGCTGTTTTTGGCGCTGTCCACTACAGCCTGCAGAGGTTTGCCGACTGGAATGATCAGGTCCCAGTCTGGAACCACTTGGCTCTACAACACTGCTGTTCTGTTTTGCTGTCTATCTCACTACTGTTTATTGACATCACAGATCTTTTATTTTACTGTCTATATCACTACTGTTTATTGTCTTTCCACTTCTCTGCTCTTTTTCTCCACAACCACATGGACGCCGATTCCGCCTGCCTGCACAGACTCCTTATCATTCTCCTTCTATCTGCTCCCATTTTGCCAATGGCTCTCTATGCCTTCCACATAGACTGTCCCACAGATCCTCTACAACCCTCTTCCACTGCAAAACACCAGAGACCGTTCAAACCTGTCGTGTCACGATAGGGAAAAAACGGAAAAATCTCTAGGCTATTCAAAGTCTAACAAGTAGTACTCTATGAGAAAATGCACACAAGTATTTGACTTTAATTATGAAAGATTGTTTTTACTGATGGAGTCTTAAATCGACAATTGAACTTGCAAAATGATGACTTCAGACAAAACTGTTTATATTCTTGCTTCATCAACTTGTTAGCTAATAGTTTGTCCTGTTTTAGAAATTGTCCGTATGTAGAGCATATTCTTGCCTGTTGAATCAACTTAGAGACAAAACCCATATTTGCTCGTGAAAAGTGTATATTGTTGCATAAGAATGAGAAGGTATAAACGACATCAGAGACAAGATATTAATCAAATAACTGGATTTTTTGTAAATTGTCAGCTACATAAGTATAGAAAGTTAAGACGACTTCAGACACAAAATCATTATTTAAACAACTGGAAATGTTTTGAGAAAAAAAAAATGTTCAGTCCATTGATTTAAAATTTTCAAATGCCATTTCGTTTTCAACGGTTTGTAAATTGGGAGACATTTTTTTTTTTAAAAGGAAAACCACTGTTGTTTGATAGAATTAACATCTTCCCTATTCGTGACTTTACAATAAATCTACCTATATCAGGATTTTACAGCCTTGGATATACGCTCGTAAATTATCGTACAATTCTTTGAATTTATAAAAAAAAGTCTCGATCATTGATGCCTATATTTAAATTTTATTACATACACTAGGCAGTGACATAACAAAGAAAAGAGTTATGTCCACAAACATGTAATAAAAAGGCGTACTCCTTAGTTTTGATGTTTTTACTCAACAAACTTAACGTCAGATTGTGGCTTGTATATTCACAACCATAGCGCTCGTAAGATTGTGTATATTGTTTAATGTACAGTTGAACCTCGGTATCTTGAACACTTATATCTTGAACTAATACATATCCCCAAAGCTCACGAATTTAGCCAGAATAATAATTACAATAGTTTCAAACCATTACCACTGTTTCTTTTAAACCACTTCATTGTTGATGTTCTCTTTTTTTCACCCCTTTCATTGTTGATCTACCACTCTTTACATTATTTTTCTGGAAATCAAGATTTTTCATAACTCATAACTTATTCTTTATTATGAAATTGCACAAATCTTCGCTTTCTATCAGTACATGAATATTTGTCAATAACACATGTTAAAGATTAAGTAAAATAGAGCATTTGATATGAAATTGATTGCGATGATAAATAAAATTGGGGATAATTTACGAACTGTAAATTTTCTATTAATGACTGACAATAGGAGTATTATTTACGATAATGGGAGACAGAGAGAGAATTTCCTGCGCACGAGTTGAAGTGACGCTCATGTCGCGTGATGTTTGTGTATAGTGCAGTTTGAAGAAAAAGAATCGTATGTATTTCGACTGTTTTTTTTTTAAGTTTTAAGGGAATAGAAAGACCATACATGTACCAAAGGAAACTTCAGATAAGAGGATAGATTGTATGTATAAAAGGAATCTACCGGAAATCATAATTAGTAAGTGCAAATAAATTTATCTCTTGAAATTTATTTCAAAAATAATTTTTTAAGTACTCATTTGTAAAATATTCTATGAAAATTGTAAGAATTATTTTTTATCTCTATAGAAATATCATCCCATGTGTTAACATGGCTTTAAGTTTATAAATATAAGTAAGATAAAACATTAGATATGCTACTTTCACATATACTAGTGCATTTAATGTGTATTGACAGGGTGTTTAATCCTTTAGTTCCTGCTTGGACGACTTATACCTTCACTTTTGCAGGATGGCATCTCTGTAGGTAGAACGTGTCTCATATTTTAATTTATTCATTCCTTCTTTTAAAATGCTATAAAAAAACTTATTTCATGTACTTTATTCAATGTAAACTGCCCTATATGCGCTAAAGACGTCAATGACAAAATCAGGATGCAGTATTCAATTGCAAACTTTATTACTATACATGTACATGACAAAATTACATTGCTCAGATTAAAATCATATAGTAACAAAGAGAAAAGATTGTAAATTTTAATATCAATTAAAGTATAAAAGAAGGGTTAGCAATATTCAAACATTACCATTCAACAATTTATTTTTCTATTTTATAGGTCTGCAGGCATTATAGCGGGAATAATAATTGGATCTATCTTCGGAGTTCTTTTGATAGGTTGCTGCTTTTCTATGATTTACCGTCATGGTCGCCATAGATTTTGGGGACACCACGGAACTTATCCACCAATCATTGGAGAACATCATGGTGGGCATTATGGAGGTCACCATGGGGGTCATCATGGCGGCCATCATTGATAAACATCACTGACACGTGTTTCATAATGAAGGACATATGTTACTTTACTCCCAGTGGCAGCTAATTAAAGTCTCATTAGTTATAAAGAGTCTTGAATGCAACATGACATGACACTGGAAGTGATGCGAGGCAAGCAATGACGGATCCATTTCTAAGAAGTCCAATCCACACTTCGCAAAAGTTGTTTCCCTTTGCGGGGTCAACCAGAAGGTCAATAGGGAAAGAAACTTCATTTCTTCTCTTTATGCTACCAAATATTTGGGCGTGCTCTGATAAATCCATTGTGTTTAATTTTTTTTCTTTCAATGTGTGGGTAGACCCATATTGGGGCAATCAGTACATGAAAGGCCGAGCTTTTTTAAAGTCAAATGACGAAGTTACAAACCTGCAAACTACAAAGGCTACTGTGTGGATTGTATGGGTTTATCCCCTAAGATGGCGGCCAAGGGACATAACTTTTGCAAAGTGTGGATTGGACTATTATATAAGACTTATAAAAATACTAGGAACCAAAAAAATATACTGGGTATTTATAATTCATTTGAAAATAAATCTCTATTGTAGATAGCTTAAACATATTGTATTGATTCGCTTGTCATTTTTGTGCAGACGTGAATATTTGAAAAGTAGCCCATGTTTAAATGAGGTAATGGAATTGTAATTTTTCTTCCAAAATTGCAAGTATAAAAAAATAACAAAGAATCATTTTATTGTTATTCATTAAACTTTGGAATTATTAATTCCCATTTTATACACATTGATAAAGTAATAAAACACACATTGTAATTTTTAACAAATCTTCCATATTTGGAATTACAGGAAGCTTCAACTTTTCTGATATCAATAGCTACAAGGTCTAGAAATAAATGGCAACTAATATTATTTAGAAATAAAGAAGAGATTCATTGGAGCCAAATGAAAGTGAACAAACATGATCATGTTGTAAAGAAATTGTATGCTTTATAGCAAAGGAAATTACAGAAATATCATTCAACATACAATGTTTGTGCATACCAAACGTGTACGTAATTACGGGCATTTTTAATGATATTTTGATATAGAACTCGATTAAATAAATGTATAAAAGGGTCTGATATTTATCTAGATTCACAATATCGTAAAAATATTATACACATGTTCATGGACAGAGTGACATGGTATTTATTACATGTATTACATACTGTCAAGTGTGCAAATTACATAATAAATATATAAACTCTAGCTGGGTAAACTTTAAAAGAATAATGAATTAATATAAAAATGTAGATTAGTAAAGTAAAAACTAATTATGATTATTCAGTATATTAAAACACACTTCTACACAGACCGCAAAGCCTATTCCGACATTACGCTAGCAACATCATGAATATGATTATTTTTTTTTTCATCAAATATATGCAGTTTTTCATTTCTTGGATTCCCAAACTTCATAAAATCCTTAAAAATAAAGATACATGGCAGTTCTACCATTCCTTTTTTCTTTCCTCCTGAGTACAATGATAACAGCATTGAAGGAAAAATTTCAGAAATACTGTTTACCAATATATTCAAGAAGGTGTGTACCGATGAGTATACTAAACACTAAAAGGAACTTTTCGAAATATTGAAATAACAAAGTTTTACTAAAATAAGTAATAGCAAAAAGTTCAACTTTTCAACAATTTATAAAATGTCATGATCGGGTACGATATATCCTAGTGAGTTCCAGATAGAGATACCACAGAGTCTGACACATCTGATTCATATTTAAATATATTACTTGAAAAAAAGACGTTAATGGTAATTTAACAACCAGGCTCTACGATAAACGTGATGACTTTAACTTTTCTATCGTCAACTTCCCTTACTTATGCAGCAATATACCTTCATCACCTGCATACGGAGTTTATATTTCTCAATTGATTCGATACGCAAGAGCATGCTCTGCGTTTGAACAATTTCTAAATCGAGGTAAATTATTGACAAACAAGTTGATGAAACGAGAATACACTCAGTCTCGTTTAAAGTCAATATTTCGTAAGTTCTGTGGTCGATACAATGACCTTGTCAGCCAATACAAATTATCATTGAGTCAAATGCTGACTGACGTTTTTCATACTAATTGTTAGTCCATTATTGATACACTGAATTGACGACGGATGTTCCCGTTATTTCCCTATCCTGACAAGGAGCACACGGAGGGTGTGACTTGTCGGCAGGGGGTTCTCACTCCTCCATGGCACCTGATCCCACCTCTGATGTTTTGGAGGACCACGTTTGTTCTGCTCTTATTTTGTATTGTTTTATGGACTTCCAGATTGAATTCTGTTCGTTATCTCCATATCCTTCATCAACGAACATCTATCGTATCTAAAATTGTGTCAATATAACATTACATTAGACCCTTAAGAGAAAATTATTGAATTCAACTTTGAATGTTTGTTTCAAATGTAATATGGATTTTAGTTTACCTTCTAAGTTAGTAATTATTACCTCTGATTAAGTTCTATGTATACACTGTGTTTATTATACTGTATTTAATAATAATTAACAGAATAAAGCACTGAAACAATTTTCAGTTTTTAATTGTTGTTTTCATGTTGAACATGGTGAAGGTTCAACGAATGAAAAGCACGTTTTTTTATTTGTTAAATTAGTTACATATGTGGTGGAAAGAAGACTTCTGAGAGTTCTTGTTAAAAAAATTATCGCACAGATAATTAAATGAAAAAAAATACTGTATTGATTTTTAAACGCCTTAGGATTTTGGACAATATCACGTTCAATCTTTTAAAATTATAATACAAATGTATATATAAATTTTTAAGAAAATGTTTGTACGGTATCATTTCATCAATTCCATGTATCTCCTACGGTTTTCACTCTTGCTCAATGAATCAACCAGTACAATAAGTTATTTTATATTTTTTTATGATTCATATTATAATGTTTGATATCTTGCACGTCCTTTCAATTTTTAAATCATTTAAAACAGGAAGGAAATTTACACACCCTAGATATTTCAATCAATGATAGCATTTTCCGATGACGATTTGCACATCTACGCAGTCATCCCACGTGACCGATGTTTACAAGTGTGTTTTAAGTACAGAGGAAGACAAATACAGCAGTTCTAAACTAAAGAAGGTATGTATAGAGATGATCATGATGGTTTTACAATTAATAACCAATATTAATAACCAGGATCTTGTTATTGTTTCATTGTATATTTACCATTCTTATTGATCGGTAGGGAAATGTTAGGTAAATGTAAACTCGCAGTGAACCTAAATTATGTGTGTAACACACTCGTATCTTGCTCACAACAGTATTGGATTTATGCGAAGTTTGTAAACAAAGAATCAAGGTTAGGAGGTAGGCTTAGCAGACGACGGGGAAAGTCATGTATTTTCGTGGTCTGGCGAAAGATTTATGATTTAAAATAAGATACAGCGAAACGCAGGTAATCCAAGGAAGGATGATTCATATATTACGTACATCTATTTGTAGAGATAAAAATGAAAACGGAGAATGACCAGGACATTGAATTTAAACATATATTTATAATCTAATGCCCATTTTTATATCTACACACAGGTATAAAAGTGTACATGGAGGATAAACATTATTCAGTATTATTAATAGCATCTGTAATATACAATATTGTTATCTAGAAGATTTTTTTCCAAGATGTAAAATTAATGCAGAACTCGGGAGAAAGATATTTAATACAATTTTTTAGTCTTTTAATGATAAGACAACAGTGAATTGAATCACTATGTGATCTAATACAAAAAGGATTTCCCAAATTTGTGCTTTACATATACGCAGTTAAAATTCTTTTTAGCTCACATGATCATTAAATGAAAATGGAGATACCGAATGGTAATGAAGCAAAAATCTATTGAAATAATAATAAATCAGGAGCAGAGCAATCACAGACCTCTAAACACAGAAGATGTGGGATCAGGTACCAAAGAGGTGTAGGCATCCCCTATCATATCAACTATATCCAGGTCATTGGTCATATTACCTGGTCATTGGTCATTTGCAAAATTATTTTGTTAAAACAGATTCTGATTGCACACACAAGTACTCTAAAGTTGACATCAAGAAGATGCTTGAGTGTCTGATTGACAATATCTATGTGGTTTTTGGAGACCAGGTCTTCCAACAATCTATTGGAATTCCCATGGGTACCAATTCGGCTCCGTTATTAGCAGACCTATTTTTGTATTCATATGAAGCAGAATTCATGCAAAATCTTATGCGTGAAAAGAAGAAAACACTTGCTGTGGCCTTCAACTCGACTTTCAGATATATCGATGACGTATCAATCAACAATGGTAATTTCCATTCCTACGTCGATACGATATATCCAGGAGAGCTTGAGATTAAAGACACGACAGAGTCTGACACATTTGTTTTATAATTGGATATTTTACTTGAAAAAAAAACGTTAATGGTAACCTAGCAACCAAGCTATATGATAAACTTGATGACTAACTTTTCTATCGTCAACTTCCCTTACTTATGCAGCAATATACTTCATCACCTGCATACGGAGTGTATATATCTCAGTTGATTCGATACGCAGGAGCATGCTCTACGTGTGAACAATTTCTAAAACGAAGTAAATTATTGACAAGCAAGTTGATGAAACAAGAATATCAACAGTCTCGTTTAAAGTCATCATTTCGTAAGTTCTATGGTCGATACAATAACCTTGTCAGCAAATACAAATTATCATTGAGTCAAATGCTGACTGACGTTTTTCATACCAATTGTTAGTCCATTATTTATACACTGAATTGACGACGGATTTTTCTGTTATTTCCTGATCATGACAAGGAACACACGGCGGATGTGACTTGTCAGCAGGGGGTGCTCACTCCTCCATGGCACTTGATCCCACCTCTGATGTTTCGGAGGTCCGTGTTTGCTCTGCTCTTATTTTGTATTGTTTTATGGACTTCCAGATTGAATACTGTTCGTTATCTCCATATCCTTCCTCATATCAAATTTGTTGCAAATACAGTTATCAATTGGAATTTTAATTTAGAAATTTATTAAAAGTATTTATTTTCAATTTAGTTATCAGTTGGACAATTTTTGACACATGGGAATGGATTACTCAAGACAGTCACAATCAACGGTTCATCCACCCCCACCAAACCAACCCTATCCTCAACCAGCACCACAACCAAGTGCCCCGCCCCCATATAGCGCACCACCTCAGCCGTATAACAGTCCATATCCTGCTCAACCACCAGCTTACAATTACGGACCCAATCCTTACCAACCAGCGGGGCAGCCTTATGGACAATATGGACCACCCCCACCCCCACCAGTACAACCTGTAGTGGCACCGCCAGCAGTGGTTTACGTGGATGGACATCATGGGCATCACGGCTTTGGGCATCATGGCTTAGGTCATGTGTTAGGAGGTCATCACGGTGTGTTCGGTCACCATGGAGGACACCATGGTTTTGGTCACCATGGATTTGGTCACCATGGTTTTGGTCACCATGGTGGTCATCATTGAACAAAACTGGTGGTCATTATTGAACAAAACTAGAAATTGTTCATTAGTGTGCAATTCTATACAGTGTATATTAGAGACACTGATAGCAATGTTATGTTTTTTGGTTATCATATTTGTTACTTATATACATATACACGCATATACAGTACAGAGCCCGCTCAGGGTGAAAAAAATCCATTATTTCTTTGTTTGTTTTTATATTATTGTATTTTCACATTACACGTACATGAAATGTTATTTGTTGTTAAAGAAATTTAACAAGTTAGACATAATTAAAAAAGTGAAACAAAGATTTGATTTTTTAAAAAAAATCTTTCATGAAACCGTATTTGAGAGCAGGACTTTTAGAAAGAAATTAATGAGCAAGAAATAGTTAAAATTATAGATAATTTTGAGTGTTATAGAAGGAAGAAGTTCGATGACTGAAACAAAATAATATCAGGGGAAGTTAATGACACACTTTAATGTTAAACATCCTTCTTATCATCAAAATAATTTCATTTTGAAACTGCCTACTTAAGATTCATATTTTGCAAGGAAAATAAAACATCTTTTCGTTCTTCTCTCTTTTTTTAACTTTTGATTTCAACATGGCGTAGTATAATATTAAGGGAGAGAAGGGCCTTAAGCTGAAAAAAAATACCTGTCATCAACTAACTAATAAATGATACATAAGATACACAAGATATCACAATGATTTGAGACAATTCATAAATCTACAAGTTACACTTTCCTCTTCCTCTCCATATGCGAACTTATTTTGCACAGTTAACATAAAATATTATTGTATACAATTTGTTTAAACAGAAATCTTGTGATTGCTCTGGTCAGATTTGTATTGTTTCAATAATGTGTCAAGATGTAGCTAATATGTGCAGTTTTGATAAAAATATACAGTCATTTGTATAAACTTGATATGCATGTATCAGTACATTTAAAAGCACAAAGTACTGAATATTCTGGCAAGTATAGTATAAGTTAATTAATTTGATCAAAAGCAATAATGATAAAAAATAATGTTATTTTTATCATAGATGAGACTGATCAAAAAGTAAAATGTCACTGAAAAAAAACCTTTTTGCAAAAATATATAATATATATATATATATATATAAATAAAAAAAAAGAAATTATATATATATATATATATATATATATATATATATATATATATATATGTAATTTAACTTTAAACTTAATTTAAAATTTGGAAATTTGGCAGGCAAATAATTTTAAATCAAAGTACTGAAAGTACTGGGAAGCGCTAAGCATGTTGATTTGAAATTCATCAAAATTATTTTGAATATAAATTTCCTTTTGTATTGAATTTTAAGCAACATGTTGACCGTGCGACAGCGCTAGGGCGAGCACAGTTGTTTAATATTTACATAGTCAAATATATGAGCCCTGAAAACCTCCCGTTGGGACACGAAATTCAACATTGTCTTGTGCCTTTTTATGCGCCCGGATCGAAAGATCCGAGGCGTATATTGTTTTTGTCTTGCCTGTCTGTCTGTCTGCTATGTGCTAAAAATAGTTTTATTTCTGCAAACTTTAACCTTCACCATAACTTTTGAACCATAAAAGATAGAGACTTCATATTTGGTATGCCTACACCACTGATTAAAGCTCTTTTAAATGACACCATGTTCAATGACCTGGTGACCTTGACTGTGACCTATAAGCTATAAATATAGCTTTTTTGTCAGCAAACTTTAACCTTCACCATAACATTTGAACAAAGAAAGATAGAGACTTAATATTTGGCATGCATACTCCACTAATTAAGCCCTTTCACATGAAAAATAGCTTTATCGAACCTTCACCATAACTTTTGAACCATGAGAGATAGAAACTTCATTTTTGGTATGCATACTTTACTAATCAAGTTCTTTTAAATGACACCAAAATCAATGACCTTGTGACCTTGACTGTGACCTATAAGCTAAAAATATGGGGGTTTTTTTAACTTTGTTGCCACCGGGCGCATAGTGTTTCACAAACACATCTTGTTATTTTATATTTTTTTGTCTGTCAAAAGATCAATGAATTCCACTTATATTGAAATTGCAAGAAAATATTTCTCCGTGTAAGAATAATTCCTTTCCCCGTCGCCTTGTAGGAATCTATAAGGAGTAATATTAGCATATAAATTGCAATATATTGGAGGGGAGATGGTAATCGAGTTTTCCTATGAAATTTAGACTCTAAATATGGGTATACATTTGTTGGAAAATGCATATTTAAAAATAATTTTGAACACTTGAAATGACGAAAAAATTTCTCTCATTTATGTGCAGCACTGACAGCCAAAAGAATTAACGCCCTTTTTGTCAGAGATAATAGTTAAATATACATTATGTTTATCTTTCGATCATTTAATCTCTGATTTTCAAATATATGATTTACATGTATGGCGTATTTACAGTAACATTTGTGTTAATATCACAATATGCATGTCTAATAGATTTGTAAATATTACTTTTTTACAATAAATATTTTATTCTTCTCTTCTTTGGATTAAAAATATATCATCAAACCTCCTAAAAGTATGGATACAAGTCTAGAATTTAACGCACCATATAATGTAAATAGTACACTGTAAATCAGTTTTGCGAATTTTTTTTTATACCGAATAACTCTTATAAAACAAAAACTTATAAAATACCATCTTAGTTTTAAATTATGTACTTATTTAATCACTATGATGATAAATAATACACTGTTTTTAATTAAGTATTTGCGCTGAAGATGCAGCAATTGTAAGCGAAATGGCACACAAGTTATGTGTGCCGATTTAAATGAACTACAATGTATAGAGAAGAGCATGATAAGAACTGCTCTTAACTACTAACCCCCCGTTCACACATAGACGCCGCTTCTACTACGATCAAAGCGTGGTCAAAAGCGTGGCCGATCGTGACAAATCGCAGGAGTAACGTCGTGGGGTCGTCAGAAGCGTAGTATGATCGCAGTAGAGTCTTCATGATCGGAGAGCTCTACGCTCTCACCACGCTTATTTTGAACATGTTCAAAACAAGCGTAGCGGGATCGTGGCCAACAAGAATCGGGGTGAAGTCGTAAATTGGGCGCAGTAGAAGCGCCGTAATCGTACAAGCAGCGCGGAAGAATCGTAGAGAGATCTTCATGATCGTAGTAAAAGCGCCGTGAAAGCGTAGGAACTTACAAAGCACGCACATACAACGCTTCCTCTACGTTCGTACTACGTTCTCACTACGATCTATCTACGTGCCTGAAGATCCTACGAAGACCTACAATGACCTTACGCCGATCATATCACGACCTATCAGACAAGAGTTTGTTCTTATGCCGCTGATATTTGACCAATCATCATCTGTTAACTATATGTAAAGGGTGACACTATACTTGATGATCATTTACAATTGAGCATTTTCACATCTTGTTACAGCTATAATCATTGAAAATGCCCTAAACCATGTGGTAAAGGCCGGAAAAAAAAACTGCGGTCGCAAAATATGTATCATCACTAAAATTGTACTACAGAAATCTGCAGTTTCAAGATATATTTTCATCATCACCAAAATCGTACTAGAAGCGTAATGCAATCGTAATATGATCGGCACGACCGTAGCGACATCGCGGTACAGTCATCTAGGTCTGTGTATCGTCGTAGAATGGTCTTCAATGTCGTAGTGGCAGCGTAGCATAAACGCACTAAACACGGCTGCTTGTCGGCAACGGTCTGCGTAACATCGTAGTAGAAGCTTGTTAGCAGCGCGTTTGACGTAGGGACATCGTAGTACGGTCGTAACGAAGACCATAATTTGCCAAAGTGCTCTATTTTGACGCCGATCGGCTGCGATCTGCACCAATCCAAAAAATTTTCAGATCGTGGCTTGATCGGGATGATCGCCGCAGAGTCGCAGCTCTGTGTGAACGGGGGGTAACTGTAGAATATCCCTTTATCTTACTAATTGCCTCCAATAAGAAATGCACGTAAAGCTTAAATAGCAGAAAGAGAGTCAGGGATTTCCAGTTGCAGTTACATATATATATATATATATATATATATATATATATATATATATATATATATATATATATATATTTACGCTGACAGAAAGCGCTTTGCGCTGCGCTTAAAAGCGCTTAAAAAGCTAGAATATATATAATTTTTAAAGCAAAGTTACCGTTCTTTTGCCGAAGCTTCTATTATTCTGCTTTGAAAAGCAATTCAATGTTTACGTAAATGCCTCCTCTCAATTCGATAAGTTCCCAGTGGTTCTTTTGGGGGTTTTACTATTCATACTAAGTCCCATGATTCACAAGATATTAGCAAGCCCAAAGAAAAGGTTCCTACCTCTGATTTTCTTTCATGAGCTTTCTCTTTATTAAACAAATATAGAGCTCAACGCGCTTCTTAAACTCACATGGTTTTTCGCACAAATTAAGGTTATATTTTTCTTGCAATAAAACTTAAAATTATCCAGCTTCAGTGCGAGACATAACCCTTATATTATTAAATATTTTATGTTAAGGGTGCATATTCTCTAAAATCATTATCTTAAGTTTTAAAGCTCGATGTGGCATTTTTATAAATTGTATGATGTTACATGTGTATGATTCTACAATAGGTATTCACAAATTAATCAATCGAGCTTTCTTTCACACTATTTAGTTGAAATGTTCAAATTGACTTCTTACAGATGAGTATTTTTCTAAATATTTTCCATTTTCCATACTTATCTTGGTTTTGTCGAAATGCAGCGCCGAAAAATGACAAAACTGCATTAAAAAATCATGTCCAAGGATAGGATAATAAAGTATTGTTTTTCTTTCAACATAGTAAATTTTTACTATTGAAAAGAAAATTCTTTTACATTTATGATCTGAAACTTTGAAATTTTTCGTTGGAAGGTATCTTTCATGATGCGATATTTCAGAAAATTTTTCACAGAGTCTGCCACATCTTTTCATATTTCAATGTTTAACTAATAAAGACGATTAAGTTAACTCACATCTATAAAGAATGTATGACAATGTAGATGACTTGAACATCTACTTTAATTTCCATTTTAATGTTATTACATGTATATTCCACTACTATCTGCTTATCGTGTTTACGAGGGCTGTTCAATAAATAATGTCCTCGGTGCTCAGAAAGAAGCAAAAGACTCTTTTCAACGATTTAGACTTTATGATTTTACTTATTAATCTATTTTAATTAAAACACATGCCCGTAACATTTTTATCCAATTTCTGATTGATTTTAGAACTCGTTTTTGGGTATAACCCTTAGTCTACTGGAAAATGGCAGATACAGTGATTTCCTGGACTTGTTTCTTCCTTCTGAAAGGTTTTTTTTTTCAAGTTTGGAAACAGAAACAAGTCAGAAGGTCAAAGATCTAGCGAATATTGTTAATGTAAAAAAAAAATTA